GCAAAAACACTTACCCGTGTTTATGGGACATGAAAAAAGCATCCCTTACAGTGGTTCTCAACCTCCTGGCCCTTTAAATACAGTTCCTCATGTTGTGACCCCCAACCATAAAATTATTTTCGTTGCTACTTCATAACTGTAATGTTGCTACTGTTATGAATGGTCATGTAAATATCTGATATGCAGGATGGTCTTAGGCGACCCCTGTGAAAGGGTCGTTCGACCGCCAAAGGGGTCGCGACCCACAGGTTGAGAACCGCTGCCTTGAAACGTGTGAGTGGTTGCAGACTGCTACAGAAGACACTGAATCAAGATGGAGAGGTTTCCCTGCAGAGCACCACGCCATTGCTTTGGGGCCACTCGAAGACATAGAGAAGGAAGTGGACACAAGCACAGGGCAATAAACGCCGGAAGCTGCAAATGTACGGGCAGGAGTCCGAGAGAGGAAGCGGTGACTACCGCCAGCGTGATGACGTCACAGCGACGTCTGAACTGGCTTGCAGGGTGAGGGAGAGCAAAGGGTCTATGTATGGTCTCTGTGGGGACAATACTGCCCGACTTGCTTACTGTTGTCTCCCTACACCCAGCACAGTGCCTGGCACACAGACGGTGCTCAGGAAATGTTAGCTGAATGACTGAGTGAGTGAAGAAGGAAGGGGAGAGGGAAGGAAGGAAGGAAGGAAGGAAGGAAGGAAGGAAGGAAGGGAGGGAGGAAGGGAGGGAGGAAGGGAGGGAGGGAGGAAGGAAGGGAAGGAGGGAGGGAGGAAGAAAGAAAGAAAAAGAAGTCAGTGTTTGGGAACAGCGAGATTCTGTTAGGGGAGGCGGAATATTTGGATGCAGAGGGGTCACAGGCGAGGCTGGGACTGTGTTAGGGGAAGGCGTTTGGATCTCGGTTGGGCTGGTTTGTGAGTGGCAGAGAGACTGACCACAGCTGGGCTTCAGCACAGCACTCCCGTGGCGGGCAGGCGGGTGGTGGCCAGCCGGTGGGGTGCCTTAGGTTGTAGCAACGGGAACAGAAAGGCCAGGTGGGGGAGGGGCTAGAAAGGATGGGTTGACCAGATGACCAGGGAGGAGGAGGAGGAGGAGGAGGAGGAGGAGGAGGAGGAGGAGGAGGAATGGAGGGTAAATTTAGGGGGTTCTGTTTTAGGTGATTGGGAGAAAGTGGCACCTTAATGTAGGCCTTGTATGCACATCAGAAAGATGTTTTGTTGCTTTGTTTGATTTTGGGGAGGGGAAGACAAAATAAAGAGGGTGTGTGTGTCTATAATGAAAGGCAAAGAGGATCTGTGTCCTTTGTGGTCTTTCAGCAGGAAATAGACAATGCTGGCCGGGATATTGAGATACTTTCTTGCTTTAAAGTCTGGGGAGGTGGGTGGGCCGCTTGGTCTCAGGTTCCTTTCTGGCTCCCAGATGGAGCTGGGCTCGCTACGCCGACGTGTGGGATGCATGGCTTCTTGAAAGACAGACTTTCGAGCATTGGTTTTGATTTACTTAAAACATTGAATTTTATTAATCAACTAAATATTTTCAGGACCACCAAAGAATCAGGGCTCTCTGCTTATGTAGCAGATCGTGTCTGTTTGCTAAACATCTTGTCTTTTAGTGCTTTTCTTTTCTTTTTTTTAAAAATATTTTTTATTTCAGAGAGGAAGGGAGAGGGAGAAAAACACCAATGATGAGAGAGAATCATGGATCGGCTGCCTCCTGCGCGCCCCACACTGGGGATCGAGCCCGCAACCCTGGGCATGTGCCCTGACCGGGAATCGAACCCTGACCTCCTGGTTGATAGGTCGACACTCAACCACTGAGCCACGTCAGCCGAGCTCATCAATCTGTTTTGTACCAAAGCCACTCATCTACTGTCTGCGTGGCCCACTCGCCTTCCATCCTGCGGTTGACGAAGGCTTTAACCCACGCCACCTGAGAATGTTCCGTGGGAGGGAATGGAGCCTCCCCAGTGCATTCCTGGAGTCTTGTTTTCACTGTCTCGGCTTCCAAGCGGGTTGTCATTAATTGACTTGCTCCCAGGAGGAGGTCACAGAATTGCAGACCTGGTGCCGGGAGGTTCCTGGATACCATCGAACCGGCTGCTTGGCTTTGAAGGCCAAACCCATTGTGCAGAAGCCGCAGCGGAAGCCTGAGGTGGCCCCGCTGCTTGCCCCGGGTCACGAAACGTCCTGACCTGGAGAGGATTTTTACAAGAATGTCCTGGAGCCACACGGATGGCAGTGCAGGAAGCAAGGTCTGAAATGCTGCAGGGAAAGACAGCTGTGTAGGGAAGGGAGGCAGGTCCCAGGAGGGTGGGAGAAAGCGAGGTGGGCTGGAATTCCAGGATAGTTACAGTAACCTCTGTGCTCTCTGGACGGTGTTTTTTCACTTATTTCAAAGGCATGTTGGCCTAGAGTCACAAGAACAAAGGACAGGGCTTGCTTGAGGCAAAGAGAAACCTTTTACTAAAAACGTTTCGTGTCTGGGACGTGACCACCCTCCAGGACCTGCCCAGGTGGGAATTTATGATCAGATCAGTTCGGGCGGCTACTTTCCATAGAACCTCCTTTTCACCTACCATGTGATGTGTAAATTAAACGCGATCATACATAATAGTCTGAAATACATACAGCGGCCAGAACGGCGATGTGACGCGATAGAATAGAAATCGTGTGGGTGAGACCATCTAATGTCAGGAGAGAACTTCAGAAGCCGTGAATTCAGCAGCTCATTTGGTAGATAAGGATGTGGAGGCCCAACAGGCAGAGACGCCAGCCCAGGGACAGGAGGCACCCAGGGGGGACCAGACCCCTCGCTTCCCCGTTTCCCTCCGGGTTCTCTGTGACGGGTGTGGGGCCCGGCGCTTCTTAGACGTGCAGTCTCTTCCCTGGGGGCCAGCGTCCCTGCGACCTATTGCACCGGGAGGGCTCCGGCAAAACTCGGACGGTGCTTTGATCTTAGGTCCGTGTTTGTTGAGCAATTTCGGCTTTTTTGAAACTTGACTGTTCTGAGTCTCAGCCAGGTATAGGAGCTTTATTGTCTGACTGGAGGGATGCTGATAATCGCCCGGTGATAGGGAGGCTATTGGGCGGTGTGTGTGGCCCAGATGGCCGGGCGCGTGAATGTCAGCCACGTTTTCCATGTACACGCGCCTACACGGGTGTCACGCCCCTCTGCGTCGGAGGCCACTGCGGCTCAGCCGTTGTCGCACTGGAATGATACACTGGCTTGTTGTGTCCTTGGGTGGCGAGCACCTTGTGGGTAAGGGAAGGGCGGTCAGCCGGCTTTCGGTAAAGACCCCGCATGAGTGTGTGAGTGAGCGAGTGAGCGAGTGAGTGAGCGAGTGAGCGAGCAGACAAACGTCAGCAGGGCTGGGAAGACACTGGAGAGCTGGCGTGCCTTGTTTTTCATCTATTTATAAAGCAGTTAAACTTTTTTTTTTGTATTGTCAACATTCTTGGATTAATATGTTAACTGGCCCTTGAAACCTATACACTTTTATTAACCAATGTGACCCCAGTAAATTCAATAAAAAACATGCTAGCTGGTACTGCCTTGCTCAGTTGGTGGGTGTACATCTTGTTGAATGAATGAGCGTTGTTTGGAATGTAGCTCGTCTTTTGGCTGAGGAGTTGAACATTTTCAGACGAAACTTCTGGGATGGGAAATAAGGTACCACCGTGCTCTAAGCGATGATTCCTCCGGGAATGGAACCACTTAGACTAGAGTTTGTCAAAAACAGCAACACAACATCAACTAGGTAAGGGCCATCTGTTCATTCGTTCATTCACGTGGAAGGGAAGTGAGTACAAGGAAGCAGGAGGGAGAACTCTGTCTTGGGGTTATAATTAGGAGCGTAACCAATGACCATTTCAGGATTTCACGTGCTTGCAGGGCCTCTGCCCCTCCAGCCAATGGCCTTTGTTCCCAGGTTAGAGTGACAGACAAGCACCTCCCTTGCGTCACCCTGACTTCACTGCGCATGCGCCCGCCTCCCCCTTTGCTGGACCCCTTCCCCAGTGATCTGTGGGGAGTGGACCGGTGGCCCCTGGGGAGTGTGACCTTGCAGCTTCCTGGTGAAGCTGCCCAGATGGCCATGCTGATCATGTCTGGCCTCCCCTTTGCCCTCTTCCTATTATTAATATTAGCAAGCTTTAAAAATATATTTTTTAAAATTGACTTCAGAGAGGAAGGAAGGAGGGAAAGAGAGAGAAAAACATCAATGATGAAAGAAAATCATCAATTGGCTGCCTCCTGCATGCCCCCTAATGGGGATGGAGCCCAAAACCCAAGTGTGAACTGACGGGGAATTGAACTGCGACCTCCTGGTTCATAGGTCGATGCTCAACCGCTGAGCCATGCTGGCCGGGCGAGCTAGCTTTTGGTGCTGCTCACACAGGTGGTGGGAGCACCTGTAGGTGCGAGGCTGGGCAGGGAGTCGAAAATGGAAAAGGCGGGTGCTGGCGTCAGGTGAGGAGCCGTTTTCCTCGGGGTTATGGGTGATTGCGGACTGATGACCGGGTCCTGGAGATGTCAGCGGGTGGAGAGAGGGCGATGAGCCGGTGAGTCACACATTACAGAGGCCGGGGAGAATGAACAGAGGCCACTGGATGAAAGGAGAGCGAGGTTTGCGTGGAGTATTTGGAATTGGAACCCGGAGCCCTCGAGCTTTGTGTCTCAGTGGGTGATAAATACACCGGCGGCAAGTGGAGGCCACATGCGAGTTGTGTTCGTGGGGTTCATTGCCTGGCAGGTGAAGGTCCTGGCAGGTTAGAGAGAAAGGGAGGGGGACGCAGAGCTGTCCAGTTGGCTCCCTAACGAGACACTGGTTGTAGTACCCGAGTGCCTGTGCGCTGAAACCGCTAGTCCTTTGGATTTCTATGAATCCGTTATAAACTGACCCTATTCCTGAAGATAACGGAAATTCGATTGCAGCTTTAATGAAAAGAAAATGAGCACACGTGTGGTTGACAATCACATGTGTATTAACTCCGTTTTTGTCTTAATCCCAGTTTCTATGCAGATTTCGGACCTCTGAACTTGGCGATGGTGTACAGATACTGCTGTAAGCTGAACAAGAAACTGAAAGTGAGTATCGTGGTGCTGTCCCTCTTCTGGTCTCAACACCCTGAACTGTGAGCTCTGACCGACGGAGTGCGCGCGCACCAGTCGGGGGTGATCTTGGTCTTTGGAAGGTTATGGGAGAAGCTCCCGGGGGTCCTCCTGGGTCCCCCCGAAGGACGTGCCGACCTCTTTCCTGTGTCAGGATGATTGGCACCGGAGCTGAAGGAAGTCACTGGGCAGGGATCTGAGAAAGGAAGCACCCAGCCTTTCGGTGTCGTTCTGAGCCCATCCTGTTCGCTCCCGGGTGGATGCTCTGAGCCTCGCGTCTGCGCTAGCCTGGGTGCCCGGGGACGGGTGGAGGGGCTCGGCGTTGCTCAGCAGAGCTCTGGAGCCTGCGTTTTCCTGTCTGATCAGGAGTTCAATTTCTCCTGAATGTCGTTCAGTAGAGTTAACAGCCAAGTCAGAGTGATGAACTGTCTGTCATCACGGAATTTGGGTCATATAGTCAACATTGATCCATATTTTTTATATATTTTTATTGATGTCAGTGAGGAAGGGAGAGGGAGAGAGAGAGTGAACCATGAATGATGAGAGAGAATCATGGATCGGCTGCCTCCTGCACGCCCCCTACTGGGGACGGAGCCTGCCACCCGGGCATGTTTCCTGACTGGGAATAGAACCTGTGACCGTTGGTGCACGGGATGGTGCTCAACCCATAGAGCCACACCAGCCAGGGCTTTTGTTATTTGTTGTGTGTGTTCGTAGGCATTTTATTCCCAATGGCCTTCATTTTAATTAAGTTGACTAGAATAGAAAATTCTCTATCCAACATCGGCTTAGATTAAAAAACTAAAAACTAGAAACCACCATCACAAACAAACCCTCCCTCCCCACCCCCTCGTTTCTTATTTTAAACTAGACATTAAAAAGTGTAAGTACAAGAGGTAAGTAGTAATGGGTTATAGTTTGCTATTTCTGGTCAATAGTTACCATAATGAGGGAACTAGAAGAGGGAAAATTTATTAAAATGAGAACAATTTGTAAATCTGTGTATATTACTTAATGTAAAAATGTCATCGATGCTTGGTAGGCTAGACCAGCCATTATTAATCTGATATTCCAAGGGATTCAAAAACTGAAATTTAAGCTAAGTGTTGCGTGCATTTACATTTTTCTGCAGAGAGGATTCACAGCTTTCCAACAGGTTCTGAAAGGGATTGTTTGCACAGTGTTAACGCTGGGCTAGAGTATAAGGGCTTATAAAAGAGTAGACTATACTCACAGAGGACTAAGAAGTGGTTTTTAAAAAATATGTATTTTTATTGATTTCAGAGAGAGAACGGGAGAGGGAGAGAGAGATAGAAACATCAATGATGACAGAGAATCATTGACTGGCTGCTTCCTGCATGCCCCACACTGGGGATCAAGCCCACAACCCGGGAATTGAACCATGACCCCCTGGTTCATAGGTCAATGCTCAACCCCTGAGCCACACCAGCCGGGCAGAAGTGGTATTTTAAAAAACAGAACCTCCTTCAAACTTAGTCATTTAAGAAAATCTTTGTTACCGATTCAATAATCTGAAAGTTTTATAAACATGATATGGCTCAACCAGCTTTTTCTAAAATAGTTAATACAGTTTTAACTATTGATTTCACTTTTCCCCGGAGAAAAAGAAAACCCTAGCCAGGGGTGGAGGGGAAATCTAAGAGTATTACTGAAAAAAGGGGACATTCTCGGGCAGTGATTTAAAAAACACACCGAAAACCTGGTCTGATGACCCCACAGGCCAATTACAATGCTCCTGAGGACGGCTTTTAAAGGTCTGAAAGCATATTGACAGGAATGCAATGGTAAATGTACAAAAGAGCCCAGGAGCCCTCTCAGGGTGGAATGAGGAGGGGCGGGCCGGTGAAACGGGCGATTGTGCTGAAGCACAGAGGTACCTGGCAGATGGCGGGGCCCAGCGCATGTCCCCGATGCTGAGTGAATCAGCGCCGTAATCCTAGCTGGGAGCCGGGCCCCGCCCCCGTATCGGGTGCTCGTACACAAAAGCCCTTTTGATATAATGATCAGACCACCCTCTCAGTACAACCACAAAAACATGTTGAGATTTCTTCACCAGGTTATCTTCAGCCTCAGGTCATGGGCTTTGGGGGCGGAGGGGGGGGAGTGAGCTACCTTCTGGAGGCAGTTCCTGTGGATTATAGAGGTGTCAGGGGTTTGAGGCAGCATGAATTCACGTGGTAGGGAGCTCCCATGGAGTTTGCAAGACTTGGGACACTTATGGCCATTCTGAAATCTCCAGCAAGAGGAAACTTCCTTAAAAGTATTTTTATTGATTTCAGAGAGGAAGGGAGAGGGAGAGAGAGAGAAACATCAGTGATGAGAGAGAATAATCCATCAGCTGCCTCCTGCACGCCCCACACTGGGGATCGAGCCTGCAACCCACCCAGGCCTGTGCCCTGACCAGGAATCAAGCCGTGACCTCCTGGTTCATAGGCCGACACTCAACCACTGAGCCACGCCGGCCGGGCAAGAGGAACCCCTTTTATAGAGCATCCCCACGTGCCGTGGACCGTAGGATCAGCCTGCTCACGTGATGTCCATGAGCCGCTGTTCTCTGATCTTTTGACTCAGAGGTTAATGGAGTGGGTGTGGAACGAAATGGGCCACCCTTTCCTTTTTGCTGAAGCCATTCCCCCTGTTGCCTGGGGCCGCCGCGTGAAGACGTAAACCCTGCTTTGTTTTGTGTGCAGCCAAAGAAAATGTTCAAGAGCATCCCTTTCCTGGGCAAGTTGGAGGTAAACCGGGTAGAGGCGCTGGCTGCGCACAGGGGGACCCGTTAGCACATTTGATGGCTTTTGCAGAGAGATGGCCGCTGTTGCTATGGGGACACTGATGGCTGCGGCCGTGGCTGGGCTAGCCTGGTCACCTGGAAGAGATGACGCCTTGGTCACCGGGCCCTGGGCTGTCACCCACTTAACCCGACCCCGTCTCCGGCTGAGCTCGCTTGTGTGGGCTGCATGGCTGCGTTTTAGTTTATGAGCAGATGCCCCAGGCCGTGCTAGTGTCTCCTCAGCACAGCCAGGCTGAGGCACAGCGTAAGGACACACGGTGTCCTCACCCAACGACCGAAGCCTTCACTTTCCCGCATGCAAGCGCCTTCCCCGAGGGAAGACACCGCTTCTCTCAGTCGTTTGTTCTTGCGTTTTGGCTTCGAGCTTCCCGCCTCCCTCACCTTTAGGCTTTGACGGCTCATGGTCTGTGACCTCCTGAGCCAGGCATGGTGTGTGCATGTTACCAGCGCCCCAGGACGGCCGGGCTGTTTGCGATCGTGCGGCCTGTGGCCCGCCTCGCCCTCCGTGGCGGAGTCGTCGGGGCTGGTTTTCCACCAGGAGTGACTCCACTAGGACGCGGCCTGTCAGCCTGTCACAGGCTCTCCTTCCCGCGACAGGAAGTGCCTGTCGGGGTCGAGGCCTCCACCTTGATTTGTGCTGTTCTGTCCTCGCCCTCATGGGACTTTGGTTTACAAGTGCCATTAAGCGTGTATGTGCCGTCGTTACGCCTGTCTGTTCCCAGGAGAGCCTGAAGCTCTGCCTCTCGCTCAGGGGAGCAGTGCAGGTGTGGGGATGTCCGGAGGTTTCAGGATGTGAATTGATAGCTAGGCAATACCAAGTCCCACCTTTTATGTACTCGTTCTTTGCCCTTTTAGAAAATATGTATTTTTATGGATTTCAGAGAGGAAGGGAGAAGGAGAGAGAGAGAAACATCAATGATGAGAGATAATCATGGATCGGTTGCCTCCTGCACACCCCCTACTGGGGATCGAGCCCACAACCCGGGCATGTGCCCTTGACCAGAATCGAACCCAGACCCTTCAGTTTGCAGGCCGACGCTCTATCCGCTGAGCCAAACCGGCTAGGGCTCTTCCCCTTGTTGAACATGACCGTACCTGTCATGAAGGTCACCACTGGCCCTTGCTGGTCCGTTTGTGGTAGCCTTGGCCGTATTTCCCCTTGCTGAGCATCAGACATCCATCAGACCGAGCACTGCGAGGCTAGTGCCTGGGTCCCCTTGTTACCGCTCTCAGCCTGTGCTTCACACACATCCCGGGCTCCGCTCTCGCTGATAGAGCAAACACGACCTCCCTCAGCCCCCGTAACCCGCACCAGACTCAGCAAACGGGTGCCCAGGCTGCGGTCCACAGACCTGTTTTGGGGGCATAAGTGCTATTTAAAAAATTTGAATTTATGCTCAACACCAGCAGTTTATTTGTTTGAGACAGAGAAACATTGATGTGAGAGAGAAACACTGATCAGTTGCGTCCAGAACGTGCCCAACCCGGGATTGAACCTGCAACTGGCAAAATGTTTTGTGATAAAAGGAGCTCTGGTATGCCTGCACACTGTCATTCCAGTGCCAGACGGTCTTCTGCTGAACGGTGTTGCTGGTGTGAGGCTGGGGCTGGGGCAGGGTGACCCAGGAGAGGGAGGCCTGGCTGGGGCGGGAGGGAAGTTACACAGCTCACGCCGTTTCCCCGTTACCGTTCACCGGGAGTTGGATTGAGTTCCTCAAGTAGGAACGGGTCTGACCTGGGAGACACTGGCCTGGCTTCACAGAGCAGATATTTCTCGACTGGAGTGCTTTTGAGATTAACTGAGAAAAACACCTGAATTCCAAAAACGTCCAAGCAAGGTAAATGCTAGCAGTTTCAAAACTATTCCTAAGAGTCAGATAGAAAACTTATTAAACAGGTCAATTACTGTAAGGTCAGTTGGTGACTATAGTTAATAACACTGTATTGTATATTTGAAAGTTGCTAGGAGTACGTCGTCCACCCCCCCCCACCCCCCCGCCCCACCCGGGAGGCAGCGCCCAATAGGAGAGATTCTAAAGTAGTTAACATTTCTAGGTAGGTGCTTATGGGGAATTTTTTAAAAAATCTGAAGTCATTTCTGAAAGATTCGAATGTTTAGGAAATTCTCCTAAAGTTCTTATCATTTTAACTTGTATCCTATTTAGTTAAAAAAATTTGTAGTTATACAGTGAGAAGGAAGTTTTTCTTCAGAATTCTGCCTTCCAGCGTCATGGTTTTCACCTGAGAAGGCCTCTGTATTTCGTATACTTTAGAATAAGAGAAAAATTAAAACCAAGCAATTGCAAAAAAGTTCAAAAGCAAGCAAACAAAAGGACCACGGATGAGGAAGATGATGGAAGTGTGAGTTTGTCCCTTCGGGCGAGTGGGTTTGTGAAATAAATTTAATCGCCCAATTATTAAATGGTCGCAGGAGTTTGTATGAAACCCGAATTCTCCGTGGGAACGGGCGTCCGCACGGACCATGCAGACTTCCAGGCGGACACTGGTGCCTGCGCCCCTGCGGTGTCCTCCCGGCGTCTGCGAGCGGGATTGCTGAGCCCCATTCCACTCGGACCCGGGCTTAGGCCGTCTTTAGGGGCTGGGGTGTGAGGCCCTAGGAGATGCTTAGGTCTTAAGAAGCTTGGCTCCCTTCCTTCGAGTCAAACAGGACTTAGAGATGGAGAAGAGCAAGTGGCAAAAACACACAAACAAATCATAAAAACATAAAAGGAAACGCCCAGCAGACAGACTCAGACCGAGAAGCCGAGGCCACCAGGCCAGCCCACCAGCGGGGCCCTGGAAGCCGTGAGATGACCTCGGGAGCTAGCCCGGCTGAACTCCACGGAACGAATGTCCTTGCTCCCTTTTTATTTCCAGGGGCCCTTGGGAAGCCGGCCTGGCATGGGACTGTGGTGCTTGAAGGGGGACCCTGCCTCTCAGGCCAGGCGCTAAGGAGGGTGCCGTGTTCGGAACACGTGGGGCTTGGTTATCAAAGACACGCCCGGCCCGGGCAGGAGGGCTCTGGACTGGGCTCCCTGGGGCCCGGGTGAAAGCCAGAATGTACAGGGCCTTCTTGGACGACTTCTGAGTTGGACGGGTTTCTCCTCCTGGTAGGGCATGAGGGTAAAGCAAGCATGTCAGACTCAAAGGCGAACACGGGCCGAATAAGCGAGGCATGCAGCCGTGGCCGCGGGTTTGACGTGCTGGGGGTGAAGGCAGGCAGGTCGCTGGGCTCCGTTCCATCCCCAAGGGGCCTCTAAGCGCAGACATTCTGTGTGCGGTGGTCAGTGTGCAAGGTATCGCAAGCTGCTTTACCGTCAGTGTGAGTTTATGGGTAAGTATTGTTACTTACGTGTCTGTACTGTGAAAACCGTTCGTCAAAATACTATGACTTTGGGTCCTGGCTGGTGTGCTCAGTGGTTAGAGCGTTGGCCCTCGCACTAAAGGGTCTTGGGTTTGATTCCCGGTCAAGGGCACAGACCTGGGTTGTGGGTTTGCTCCTCACCCCTGGTTGGGGTGTGTACGGGAGGCAACCAGTGGATGTGTCTTTCACACATCGATGTCTCTCTCTTTCTCTCCCTTCCTTCCCCTTCCACTCTCTTGAAAAAACAATGGAAAAAATATCCTCTGGTGAGAACTGACAACAACAACAAATACTATAATGTTGGAAATATGAGGAAATTGAGGATGTTATTGAGCTCCACGTTGTATGTTTGAGTTCTGATTAATACTTTGATTTCGTTTTAACAGGCCCTCTTATTTGCACAGTTCTTTTCCTGTTTGGCATGTGCACACACACCATGTTGTTTATTTTGGGTTTAGCTGAATGCTTGAGCACGCAGCATATTGCCTGGCATACAGCAGGTGCTCAATACCTGTTTGAACCCGTGAATGTAATACATGGCTGTTGTATTAAGATGCCTGCTGATAGAATCCTGTTGATGGCTCATCCTTTTCTATTGACCATTTATTTCCAGATCATGAAGAGGGGCTTCGTACAGGACACGTTAGAAGAAGGCATGAGTGCGGTGCTCTCGTTAACGTGGGCATGTGCACATGTTAAAGAGGGAAATGGACTGGCAGGCACATGTCAAAACCAACTATCTAATGTGGACGGCATAGACCGTTGTTCTGGGCGTGTGTGGGGGGGGTGTGTGGGACGTGAAAAGGACTTTACATGGAAGATCCCGAGTCAATCTTCAGAAATGGTTTCTCTGATAAAGATGCTAATTAGTAACTCAGTTATTTCCAATGTATGTGTCTCCTTTCTTGGGGAGACACATACGTGGTCCAATGCCAGTTCTTCCATCGCGATGAGCTGCAAAGAGTCCGAGCTAGGAACCCTCCACTCCCGACATTCACGTCCAAACGCCATAGAAACCCAGGGTGTGCCGGTTCCCCAGGGCCTGTCTCGGAGAGGTGAGAGAGGGTGTGTCTCGCATCTGTCCACCTGTGGCTGTGGCCACCCTAACTCTCTTTCCCTCTCTCTCCAGTCATACAGTTTATCAAGAAAGAAAATAGTGCATTACACCTGCTTTGACCAGCGGAAAAGAGCAAACGCAGCATTTTTGATAGGTGCTTATGCTGTAAGTACTTGGATTGCTCTGGGTGATGGGGTGCTGATGCTGTCCTGGATCCGGGCCCCGCTGTCCGAGGCCTGGGGAGGGGGGGGTGGGGATTCTCAGCAGCTTGGGAGCTGATCGGATGGAGAGAGTGGACCTGGTGCCGATGGGCTGTTCCCTCTTGGGTTTTATTTTCGTAGCTGACGGCAGAATCTCGGAACCGCGGTGTGTGGCTGGGATTCCAGGGCTGTGCAGGTGTTATAACAAAAAGAATACCCGGAGAGGATATTTCCAGAAAAAATTATATGAAAAGGCTGTTGAAATGTTCCTTTTTTGGATGAAAGGAAATTCTAGAGTGAATGGGAAGGCTGATGATCATTGTTTTTACCAGCCCAGTTACTCCTCTATCGAGGAGGCAAACCAGTCAGAAACCCTGCGTGTAGTACAGCTTTCCCAATAACTAGATGAAACTTTCCAAAGCTCATTTGGATGAGACGTTTCACCCCCGGTGAGCACTGAAAGGTAACATGCCTGTGACCGAGTTTGGATGTGACCATTTCTAGACTTTTCTGTAACATGCTGGGCTGGGGCAGAATCTTGGAAGACAAGCCATCCGGACTTCAACCACATCTGCGACCTCGAATAGCTTTTTAGGGATGAGGGATGGCCAGGTAGGAAGATGCTGGGGGAAAGGCAGGGACAGAGGCGTCACTGCCCGGCGTCCTTGGGGAGGGTCAGTGCCTCCTGAAGACCCTGACGAGGGAGGCTGGGCTACTGGACACCCCACTGCCCCGGGGACCACAGCCGCGGGGGGAAGCCCAGCCGTGCGCGGGGGAGACCCAGCCGTGGCAGGTGCAGGCTGAGCACGGTGACCAGGTGATGGGCGGACGCAGCCTGGGAACGAGGACCGAGATGCCAACTCCGCCCGCTGACGGGGCAGCCGGAAGCCTCGGGCCGTCCCTCCTGGGCCCTCTGTCCCCTGCTCTCTGGGCACAGCCTGGCTGTGGGTACGAGGAGTCCTGAGCACGAACCAGAAAAATGCTTTCTCGCTTGCGTGGCTCTGGGGTGCTGGGGAGAGTCCGCTATCGCCCAGGCTTCATTCGGTTTCTTATCTGTAAGACGAGAGGGTGGATATGATGGCCTCTAAGTTTCCTCCCAATTCCGAGGGGACTGGGATGATTTGCAGCTCCGGCCAGGCTGCTGCTTTTATTTTCAGAGCAGCCCCGACAGGCAGGCCGCTGGGGGGAGCGTCCAGGGGTGCGGGAGCCGCGTCTGCAGGCGTCTCCCTGCTCACTTCCCGGGGCTGGTTCAGCTCACCTGGAACTGACCGTCTCCGTGTGTTCTTCCTTCTCCCCACAACCCTCTTATCCCCCAGTCCTTGCCTTTTGTTGTTGTTAATCCTCACCCAAGGTATTTTCCCATTGGTTTATAGAGAGAGTGGAAGAGAGGGGGAGAGACAGAGAGAGAAAAACGTCAAAGTGAGAGAGACACATCGATTGGTTGCCTCCCTCATGCTCCCCAACCAGGGCCAGGGATGGAGTTTACAGTGGAGGTATGTGCCTTTGACCAGAATCGAACCCGGAACCCTTCTGTCTGTGGGCCGACGCTCTATCCACTGAGCCAGACCGGCTAGGGCAGTAAAGAAGTGGACTACCATCAGCAGCGTGCCGACCCAGAGGAGACTTGTCACATTGATTTCTCTCCTTCCTCTTCTCACTCATCAGTTTGGGCAGCTCTGCCTCCACACATATCGCTGCCGCATGTTGTTGCTGTCAGCCAGCCGGCCATGGCCGCTGCTCACCTGGACGCCAGCACAGCGCCCCACCCCTCCTCACATTCCTTCCTTTATCCAGGGCCAGAGTGACCCTTCACAAGCATGAATGGAATCGTGTCACTGCCCTGTTTCAGCTCCGTCTACGATGCTCAGTTCGTGGTATAAAGTCCGATCTCTTTACCGGTGCCATTGAGGTCCTCGCTGAGCCGGCCTGTCTGCCTCTGATCTCTCTGATCTCCTTGCTCACCATCCTCCCGTCAGCCCTGGCGGCGGGCTCAGGTGGTTGGGCGTCGCCCGGTACAGGGAAAGGTTGTGGGTTTGATTCCCAGTCAGGGCACATGCCAGGCTCCATCCCTGGCAGGGCAAGTGCAGGCGGAAGCTGACCGATGTTTCACTCTCACATCAATGTCACTCTCTCTCTCTAAGTCAATTTAAAAATCTTTTAAAAAGACAGATGCTCCATCCCAGTGGCCCTCCACCCATGGGATCCGGAGTGTGCTCCCAGCAGAAGGCCCTTTTCGCACCTGCAGCGTCTTCACCCCAGCCCCCTGCGTTCCTGGTTCCTTCAGATGGTCCCTCCCCAGAGAGCCTTCTCTCAGGTGTTCCCTGCTCCCCCGCCTCCAGCCTCCCTCTGCCCTTGGCTGTTTCATGTTCTCTGTCGCACCGTGTCTGGAGTTATCTGATTCATGTATGTATTTACTTGTTGGTTATCTCTTTCCTGGACTAGAAGGCAGGGACCTTGTTGGTTTCATGCATTGCTGTGTGTGGGAGGTGATAAAATATTCAACAAGGGGCTAGGGCCAGGCATTCTCCGCTGGACGCTGGCCACCATGGAGCCGTCCTGCCACGATGAATCACGGGGACGTCCGGGGTGGGGGGCGTCCCAGGAGAGAGATGAGGTGCGGCCAGTGTGGAAGGGGTGGGGTGCTGCCAGGGCCGTGCTGTGGTTTCCTGCCGGATCGCGAGTGAGAACATTGAGCTTAGAACTGCGCCTGGCACATAGTAGGTGCTTCATAAACATCTAGTGAATGAATGGAAGATGGAATGACAAAATAGGAAAGAAGGAAGGGTGGTCACGTCAGAGGAAAACTCTGAAAACGATCAAATTAGATGTAAAGTCTAGTTAACACGCGTCATCATACATAGTTAGATGCTTTTTTCTTGCGATGATTCCTAACCAGGGTTAAGTGTACAGCACCGTGGAATTAGGCACATTCACAGTGCGGTGCAGCCACCAGACCGACCTTCCTTCCTTCCTTCCTTCCTTTCTTTTTAAAAATATGTTTTTATTGATTTTAGAGAGGGAGAGAGAGAGAGAAACATCAATAATGAGAGAGAATCATTGATCGGCTGCCTCCTGCACGCCCCCTCCTGGGGATTGAACCCATAACCCGGGCATGTGCCCTGACCGGGAATTGAACCATGACCTCCTGGTTCATAGGTCAACGCTCAACCCCTGAGCCACACCAGCCAGGCCACCAGCCCTTGCTCTGGGTGTGCCATCGCCTGGCAGCCGGGCACCTCCTGGGCCAGGGCCGTGCTGTGGTTTCCTGCCGGATCGCGAGTGTGAGTCTGAAACATGCCTGTGTTCCTGTTTCCTCCCCTCTGCGTGGGGGAGGGCCTTCTTATGTTTGACCTCGGGGCCGTCATGAGTGTGAAGAAGGAGATGAAATGGAGGGTGTGGTGCCCAGTAGGAAACCCACAAACCCCTCTGGGTGGGCGATGCCGCAGCCAGGGGTGACCGTGACCGCCCGAGAGCACAGCGAGCCAGCGGGACAGACGGCAGGCATTGCAGGGAGCCCCGCTCCCCCGTGAGCACCTCTGCGTCCCTAGCGTGACCTTGAGCTCCTGGAGCTGGAGGGCTCAGAGGTGACCAAGACACCAACTTTGAAACAAGCCAGTCGGAGGAAGACAAGGGCCATCGGATTTCACGTAGATGTGGGATCTGCTGAACAAAATAAGCTAACGAAGTGGAGACAGACTCATGGATACAGAGAACAGACTGGCAGCTGTCAGAGGGGAGGGGCTGGGGGCTGGGTGAGAAGGGTGAAGGGATTAAAGCAAAGAAAAAAGAAAGACATGCCCAACCAGGAGGTCACGGTTCGATTCCTGGTCACACGCCCGGCTAGTGGGCTCGATCTCCAGTAGTGGGCATGCAGGAGGCAGCTGATCCATGATTCTCTCTCATCACTGATGTTTCTCTCTCTCTCTCCCTCTCCCTTCCTCTCTGACATCAATAAAAATATATATTAAAAGAGAAAGATTCATAGACACAGACAACAGTGATTGCCAGAGGAAGGGAGGGCAAATGGGATACATGGTGGCGGAAGGAGACGTGACTTGGGGTGGTGAACACAATGCAACATGCATTTGACATATCGTAGGATGGTACACCTGACACCCGTGTAATTTTACTAACCAGTGTCGCCCCAACAAGTTCAACATGGTGTTTCTCTCCCAGGACTCAATACTGAGTGCAGCTTCAGGGTCAGGGTGCTTGGGCACCAGAGCCCCCCAACCCCCCAGCATTTTGAAGAAGGTGGCTTTAAAAATTACAAGCACGGGTTAACCAGGCCCTTGCCTCCGGCTGCAGGACCAGGTGCTCACTGGCCACTGTGCAGTTTTCAGTTCACAGACTGTGAACGGGGGTCAAGTGGGGGGGTCAGGCCGTGACGACCGAAGGAGGGAGAGCGTGTGTCCGAGGAGCAGTTACATTACATGCCCTGGTGTGGCTTTAAAAATTAAATGCAGAGCCCGGCCGGCGTGGCTCAGTGGTTGAGCATCGACCTAAAAAAAAAAAAAAAGGCATTTGCCTCCCGAGTTTATAGACAGCCACCGAGCGGATGTCAGCGTGGTGCCTGTGGCCTTTCCGGGGAAGGGAGGAGAGGCACATGGCCGTGCAGCTTCCGGTCCCAGTTCCTTCCTTTTAAAGCTTGGCCGGCGAGAACGCGCCCGTGACCACTGCTTGCCCGTGGGCTGGACGGGCGCTTACCCTGGCCGGTATTTTTGGTGCTTTAAAGAGGTCAGGCCCCTAAAATCATTCAGACTCTGCATTTGGAAGCTCTGAGTCTGCAGCTGGGGGCGGCGGGGCGGGGGGGGGGGGGGGAGACACGATCTTTGACTCCGTTTAGCTGTGGGCTAGGAAAATGCTTCTCATCCGAGGAAGCGTTCTTTCTCACGTTTAACGGAATAAATACATCGTCCCAGGAATTTTTGGTTTCTGTTCTCCTTTTGAGTCCTGATAACCAGCCTCGTCTGTGCTGTAAATAAGCTCCCAGAGCCCGGCCCACGTGGCTCAGTGGTTGAGTGTCGACCTATGAACCAGGAGGTCACAGTTCGATTCCCTGTCAGGGCACAGGCCCGGGTTGTGGGCTCGATCCCCAGTGTGGGGCATGCAGGAGGCAGCCGGTCCATGATTCTCTCTCATCATTGATGTTTCTATCTCTCTCTCTCTCTCCCTCCCTCTCTGAAATCAACAAATATATATATATATATAAATATAAATATATGTATATGTATTATCGTATTAGTAGCCTTGAAAAATCACTGACTTTCTCCAAGGAAAAAGCTGGTGTGCATTTGTTTCACGGGTGCACCGAGCTGAGGGGTGTTTTCTGGAAGCGGCGAGGTCTGCCTGCAGCTGTGATTGGAAGGGGAGGACATTCCCAGCATCCTCGGGGAAGGTGGACGGACTTCCGGTCGTGGTGCATTTATGGAGTCTGTGAGCGACACCTCTGTGGTTGGGTTTCGGTCGCTTCTTAAGCTGAGGTCGCCTCCACTTGTTCCAGTCCTACTGTGTCGACATCAGTGAACGGAAATATTCAGGGAACATGGTTGCTGCTTTCAGAAGTGTACAGCCCGGCCAGTGTATAATAAAAAAACATACAAACAATTAAAACCTACCTCTGTATGAGAAAACCATCATTATAATAGTGGAAAATGCAGTCTGAAATGTACTGTGTGTTTTTCTGGATTTCAGAGAGGAAGGGAGAGAGAGATAGAAACATCAATATTGAGAGAATCATGGATGGGCTGCCTCCTGCACACCCCCTACTGGGGATCGAGCCCCCAACCTGGGCCTGTGCCCTGACCGGGAATCAAACCCTGACCTCCTGGTTCCTAGGTCGATGCTCAACCACTGAGCCACGCCGGCCGGGCTAAAAGTGCATCGGCACTGAAGGATGATTAATTCTGCAGCGTTCTCGAAGGACAGTTCTGTCACATGGCACGTAGCCGAGCACTTGGGCGAGGGCACAGGCTCCAGCCCCTCCCTGCAGACACCTGGCCGGCACCCACCGCTCCCTGTCCGCTGCCCTCGCCAGGCAACGGCTCTGTAAACACGCGGAGGGAACAGCCAGTTCCTTGTTGGGGGCTCATTGTTGGTTTCCTATTCTTGAGTCGACTCAAAGGCGAGGAGCCTCCGTCACTGTGCGAGTCCAGACGGGAGATTGGTTCCCATGCTCTCTGGCCTCGTCTTAGGCGTGTGGATAACATCTCACCTACAAACGTCTTCAGTTTGAAAAGGAACACGTTGGCTTTCTTTGGTCCCTTGGGAACATGCTCCAGTTACTAAATGAATACGTGGTTGTCTGGTCCCCCCCTGCCCTCCTGGGAGAGGCTCAGCCTCTGCAAGTGGTCCTGATCCACGGGAGCCCAGCCACCCTCGGCCTCCCTGCCCCCACCCCGCCGGGTTCCACCCCGGCCAGCTTGGAGGCCTTCCTCCTGTGTAACGCAGACAGTCTCTTTATTTACTTTCTAATGTTTTTATTGACTTTTCAGAGAGAGGGATAGAAACATCCATGGTGAGAGAGAATCATGGCTTGGCTGCCTCCTGCACGCCCCGCACTGGGGATGGAGCCCGCAGCCCGGGCCTGTGCCCTGACCGGGAATGGAACCCTGACCTCCTGGTTCTTGGGTTGATGCTCAACCACTGAGCCACGCCAGCCGGGCCAGAGAGTCTTGACTTGTCTCCCTCACTGTTCTTCCCCATTATTTCTCTGTTGACATCAAGATCTTTCTCCTTTGATGGCCGCCCTGCCCGCCGCGCCTCAGCTTGGGAGTCAGTCCCGAACACAATGCCAAATATTGGGGGATGCAGTGCATTTGGAAGGTGCCTGCGATGTCAGAAAGGACCCACCAAGCACGGGAAGTAATTCAGGGTTCACGTTAGAGGTATTATCCAACGCTCATTGGTTTCCTCATGCTTTTTCTTGTTTTAAAGTTAAGTTTATTGGGGTGACTCGGCTAACAAGGCTTACAGGTTTCCAGCCTGCACTTCTGTGCTCCATCCTCTGCTCATTGCCTTGTGCGCCCACCGCCCAGGGTCGACCCCCGTGACCCATTTTGCAGGCCCCGAGCGCCGTGATAGACGCGAGCCTGGAGAACAGGAAGGATGACTCGCCTTCCCGGACACGTGTTAGACTGTTGGCGACGGGGACTCATTCTTGTCCGGCTTTCACTGACAGACCGTTTAGCGCCGTCGGGGAAAGCAGGCTGGTCGAATGCAGGCTGCTGTAAACATCCAGCTGTGTTTCTGATTTGCAGTCAGACTTCCCTATGGAGCTGGCAGGGGATTACTGACCACTGAGCACCTTAGAACAGAAGTAGAATCAGTCGCGCATTTGAAAAATGGTCGCCTTTTTCCTATTTTTTTTTTAATTGAATACAGACATTGTTTTCCCAGTCACGGGTTATAATGGGAGGAAATGATTAAGAAGAAAAATGTGGCTAAAAATAAGAAAATTAAACATGTTGTGGGCTTGCGTACGACCGCGAGGACGTGATGCTAAGAAGTCTGAGAAGCGCAGGCTTGGGAACCCAGGACGAGACTTCAAAATGAAAGTTTTACGTTTTAAGTCTTTGCTGAATTTCTCATCTCATAGTAGTTTATTTGTTTTTTTTTTTAAACCTGTAAAGAATGTCTGTGAGTTTATCTGAGCCAAACTGTTGACAGTTGCTGGAAGCAGAGTCTCAGCATATTGGGGCGATGCTCCGGAGAACGGCGGTTTTTCATCTTGTGTTGTTCATTGCCATCAAAGGAGGGGGCGAAGGGGGTTGATGACTCCCCTGGTGACAGATCAGGGAGGCGGGAGAGAGCAAAGCGGGGAGACCATGGCGTCTCTCCTAGATGTTCACTCCCTGGGCTTCTGTGGCTCCTCTGCGGGCGGCGGGTCATTAATTCCTCCTCCACGAGCGTCCAGCCTGCTCGCCCTGCTCTGTTCAGGAGACGTTCGCGTAGGGCAGAGATGGCAAACCTATGACACGTGTGTCAGAGGTGACACGCGAACTCACTTTTTTGGTTGATTTTTCTTTGTTAAATGGCATTTAAATATATAAAATAAATATCAAAAATATAAATCTTTGTTTTACTATGGTTGCAAATATCAAAAAATTTCTATATGTGACACAGCACCAGAGTTAAGTTAGGGTTTTTCAAAATGCTGACACGCTGAGCTCAAAGGGTTCGCCGTCACTGGCGTAGGGAAACGGGCATGGCATCTGCGCTCTCTGGCTACACGTGACTCTGCTGGGCAGGGACCTGGGCCTCCTGGACCTGCTGGGCTTCGACGACGGATGTGGTAACACGGCCAGCGCCTTGGTTTGGGGGTTGCTGATGCTGAGGCCACGTCTGCACTTTAACCCGAGGAGGCTGCGCTCAGCGCTGGCCCGTGTGGTGGTTGGGTCTGCGGCCATCGTGGGGATGTTCACCCTCACGTGTTGGGGTGTGTATGCACAGCCAGTCTTCAGGGCTGGGCGTCAGACACCCTGACCGCTGTGGGTCCCAGTCCCGTGGACACGGGGTGAAAAGGAGGAAAAGGTATTTGGGGACCAAAGCTCACCTCCTTCCTGCCTCGGGCGGTCACGAGGGCTAAGGAGCAAATCAGCCACTTTCCTAGAGTAGTGCCTGCCACCTCTTATATTTTTTAAAGAATTATTTCATTTTTTAAAACCTCACTGAGGATATATCTTTTTAAAAATTTATTTTTAGAGATGGAAGAAGGGATGGGGGCAGAGAGAGAGAGAGAGAGAGAGAAGAGAGAAACATTGATCGGCTGCCTCCCACACGTGCCCCTCAGGGATTGAACCCCAAGCCCAGGGATGAGTGCTGACCGGGAACTGAACCTGGAACCTTTGGGCCGAAGCTCCAACCAGCTGAGCACTGGCCAGGGCTCGCTCTCTTTAATCGGAGGCAGAGCTAAGAAGATGTGGCCTGAGAATCCACGACACATTTTCCCCTGGAAACGTGGCACCTGGGGTTTTAACGACCCCGGCGAGCGTGCGCTCAGCAACGCCCTCCTGTATTGGAGCAGCGCCCCCTCTCCCACGCCCCCCTCAGCGGTTGTGGGAGGCCGTTGCCCTCACCTGCCCCGCAGCCTTCCTGGAATTGCGATGGCCGCGCGGGGTTTCACTTTGCACTTATGAATAATTGAGGCCCGGGATAAAAATAAAAACAAAGGCTCGCTTTCCCGAGGGAGCAAGGGTCGTGCGTGCTCAGCCATGCAGATAAGAGGAGCGGGCCCGGGGCACCGTGGAGAGCGGTTCACCGGCGGCCGCCTCCCTCCCCTGGGAGGACGCCTCTTGCTCCTGGGGGAGGTGGATCTGTCTGCTGAGGAGGCTGTGAGCTTTAATGGTCTAATCCAGCATGGAATCACCTCGAGGTGGGAGGATGGGGCCCACGGTGGTCTGCGGTGAGCACATAGGACCGTCAGGGACCCACACTTGTTCTGCTCCCAGAGGGGACCCCCGCCCCCCCGTGACATCTGTGTGTGTGTGTGTGTGTGTGTGTGTGTTAATATCTATTTTTATTGATTTCAGAGAGGAAGGGAGAGGGAGAGATAGAAACATCAGTGATGAGAGAGAATCATGGACCGGCTGCCTCCTGCACGCCCCACACTGGGGATGGAGCCCGCCACCCAGGCCTGTGCCCTGATGGGAAACCCATCCTCCTGGTTCCTAGGTCGACGCTCACACGGAGCCGTGCCGGCTGTTGGTGTGCCTTGAGCACAGCCTGGCCGGCCTCTGGGTCTGCCTCAGTCTCCAGGCTCTCACCCACCCTTAGGCCAGGGCGGACAGGACACTGGGGCAGCCCCGTTGCTGTGCAAAGATCCCCATGCCCACCAGGACTCTCAGCCTCAGAGAGGAGGAGGGTGATGCACCCGTGGGGAGTCATCTCGCTTCGTGCCGATCTTGGGTGTGACCTAAACGCTGCTGTTTGTCTGCCGTAGGTCATCTATTTGAAGAAGACACCGGAAGAAGCCTACAGAGCGCTCCTGTCCGGCTCCAACCCCCCCTACCTTCCATTCAGGTACCGCGCTGCGTGTGAGGGACATAGTGCCTGGCTGGACGGCTCGCTACTGTCCAGCCGGGTTATTGTTTTTAATTCTCATGACTGCGACCATGATGTTATAGGGAGTGAAACGAGATGGTGGTTTTTACTATTCCTTTTTGCCCAGTCCCCCGCCCCCCCCGCCATCTAGTAAGATAAAACAGCTTTCTCCTTTTAGGAATTAATTTTCCCTGGGACCCTTTCTATATCCTGACCGTTTAAGGGCAAGGGGTGCCCAACTTAGGAGCTAACAACCATATCAAGACTCGTTAGCGCTCAGTACTCGAGCTCATTTCACGGGCGATGGTTCCGCGCCGACCCCGTGCCGGGGGCTGGGCAGGTAGCATCAGACCCTCTCAGCATCTTCCCGAAGCGGACGCTCAGCGGCCCCACTCACGGTGCGGCCGCACATCTGGCTCTCACCCGGACGGCGGTCTCCTCCTTCCAGTGTTGGGAGACAACAGTTAGTGTCACTGAAGATCTTTTTATTCTTATTTATTTATTTTTTAAATATAATTTTATTGATTTCAGACAGAAAGGGAGAGGGAGAGATAGAAGCATCCATGATGAGAGAGAATCATGGATCGGCTGCTTCCTGCACCCCCCTTATTGGGGATCGAGCCCGAAACCTGGGCATGTGCCCTGATGGGGAATGAAACCGTGACCTCCTGGTTCATAGGTTGATGCTCAGCCACTGAGCCACGCCGGCCGGGCAAGATACACGTTCTTATTTTCTCGTTTCTATCCCCGCATGTGGCACACGCATTACTATTCTGCACCTTGATTTCTTCATCTTGGACGTGTGTGGGTATCAGTGCGTAGAGCGCTGCCTCCCTCATGCCGCCGGGCTTCACCGTCCGCCTTGATTCATTAAGCGCGCGTGGACCGGAGGACGCTTCATTCCTGGCTGGGGGGCCCGGGGGTGTCTGACGGCAGCATCAACGTGTTCCACTCCTTATAAAGCCGTTGTGTCAAAGCTGTACTTGCCGCTTGCCCCGAGGCTAGCCGATGAGCGACTGTGGCTGAAAACGAGAGGAAAGGGGCCCCTACCACCTGCGTTAGTTCCTCGAGTCCATCCGTCGCCGCGTTGACTTTGCGGGTGACCTTCAGGGGAGCAGGCACCTTTGGGTCCTGGCCCCGCGTCAGCAGAGTTGGGTTGGGAGCCGGGCAGGGATCCCTTTAGGCTCTTTCCCTCCCGTGCACACCCCTCTCCAGTCCGTGTTCTTGGCCAGTCACCCCAAAGCCATGATCCTTGCAGCTTGTCCGAGACCCCGGCCGACGCTGTGCTTTCCTGGCCGCCAGCAGCAGCGTTTTGCAAACGGGCCTCCGTGGTGCTCACACACAGTGTCTGGGGGAACCCTGACGTCTCACGGAGGCGTCGGCGAGGTCTCCTTGCTCAGCTCTGAGCCCGTGTGCTTCCCATGCGTTTCACACGTCTCGGCTCCCGGGCCCATGGCATCAGCTGGGCACATGCCTTGGCTGTGGGGTGGGGGGTCCCCATGAACCTGCCAAACCCTGTTTTCCCGTGACGGGAAATCCCGCGGGGAATGGACTCCACGGGCAGGAGTAGCCCCGAGCCCAGTTTTGAAGACAAAGACAGAAAGCACAGCAGGAAAGGTGATGGCGGGGCCAGGTGAGCGGAGGCGGGGCTGCCGTGGGGCCGGGCTGGTGGGTGTTGGGTGTTGTCACCAGCTGTGAGTTGAGGGGCCGGTTTATTTCGGGGCTGAGGGTGGTGGTGGGAGACGCTCCCCCTGGTTGGCCCCGGAGTGCATTTTGTGTGGCTGTTGTAGTCTCTTTGGAGAAGATGTGATAATGGGTAGGTGGATGTTTCCCAGGTGCTGTTGGTTCCCGCCCTTGGTTTCAGGTCTGGGACGCGTTAAACAGGACGGCTGCCTGCGTTCTGTCCCCAGGAACGCGTAGGATTGGTCTGGGGTGAGGTCTGGGTGTCGGGCTTTCTGGAAACTCCCGACAGATGTCAATGTGCCGCCGGGCTGAGGGCTACGCGCTCTGTGTCTACCTCGGGAAAAGAATAATAATGGAACAGTCAGCGATCAGAGAAGCTTAGAGCTCCTCAGTCTTGGGGATTTACAAGCACGTTCCTCGTTTTAAGATCCTGAATGTGTCTTTCTAATAAACATTCATCCGGAATCTCCCCCCCTCCACCCCCCCATCTCTGTGACCGTCGCTCTGAAGCACCCAGGGCACCCTTCCTGACCCGCACGCATGGAGCACCACCCACCTCGCGGTCAGAACAACACGCTGGCATCGCAGTGGGAACTGTGTTTGTGCTCCCGACCCCCTGGAGCATAGCGACGGAGAACAATGCAGCTTTTCTCCGGGGGAGAAAGCCTTTCACAGGCCTCCCGCGCGGCCCTCTGCAATGGTGTTTGGCATGAAACGCACCCGCCTGTTTGCGTTCGAGGGTGTGTTGCGGTTGCGATGACCCCTAGTGCCATCTCTGTTGCTGAGCGAGTCTTCCTGTGGCCGGAGCCATGACTGGCCGCCTGGGCAAGTCAGAACTTGCAGGTCCCACAAAGGCTCGGAGGGTCAGCCACTCAGAACCTGGCACTGGCTGCCTCCTCCTTCCTTCTAAAGCGAAGCAGACAGGCGCTGGGAGATGTGAGCCGCCATTATAAATACATGTGTGTGTGTGTGTGTGTGTTTAACTTTTTAAAAAACATATTTTTATTGATTTCAGAGAGGAAGGGAGAGGGAGAGCTAGAAACACCAATGATGAGGGAGAATCATTGATTGGCTGCCTCCTGCACGCCCCACACTGGGGATCGAGCCTGAAACCTGGGCATGTGCCCTTGACTGGAATTGAACCTGGGACCCTTCCGTCGCAGGCTGACGTGCTATCCATGGAGCCACACCAGCCAGGGCTAAAACATCTCTTTACCTCAAATGTTGAAACAGATGTTTGTTAGCTTGCACATGATCCTGTGCTTCTGTTGGAGTTCGTTAGGCAGTTAACTCTGTGCCTCAAAGGGAAAGTTCCTACCACGTTTTTCTCTTGAGTCTCAAACATGTGGGAGCGACACTTATTTTACGCTCTCTCCTGGCTTTCCTTTCCTTCTCCACTTCTCGCAGCGATGGCTGGCTGCCTCTCTGCTCCTCCCTGTTGATCTTTGGGGGTCACGCCCCCCCCCAACCCCCATGGGTCTTTGCTAACCCTCACCTTTGATGCGTGCTGTGATGGGGGAAATGGGCATGCATTTTGAAGAGTGAGGCACGCCAGTTTCCTGAGGGTGGGAAATACATGGGAACGTGGCTGATCTGGTCCCCACCGAGGAGCCCGTTCTCGGCGGCGGGGCTCCGGGCTCAGCTGGGCCACCGTGGGAAGCAGACTGTCAGACGTTCCCTGTCACCGTGGCTGAGAAGCACACGACAGGGGACCTGGTAACAGACACAGCGGCTGGGTCTCGGGAGCCACCGACTACACGTAAGGAGGCGAGTTACATCTGCTCCGTGTTCAGCTTCAGCAGTTTGAGCTGCGAAAATGGGCTAAGACTGCTTCTTTCATTCCTATTTTTTAAAATATATTTTTATTGATTTCTAAGAGGTAGCGAGAGGGAAAGATAGAAACATCAGTGATGAGAGAGAATCATCGACCGGCTGCCACCTGCACGCCCCACACTGAGGATGGAGTCCGAAACCCGGGCCTGTGCCCTGACCAGGAATGGAACTGTGACCTTCTGGGTCATAGGTCGAGGCTCAACCGCTGAGCCACACAGTCCAGGCTTTCATTCACATTTTTAAGGCCCCAGATCAGTGTCACCAAACCATCTATAGAAGGGCCAGACCAGCGTTCTTGGTCCTCTCTCTGGTCCGTTCCCGAGAGCCGTTCCCGTGGGCAGTGGTGGTGGGGAAGGAGGCTGCAGTCGTGTGCAGGAGTGAGCGGTGTGTTGTTGATGCAAAGAAAGCCTTTCTATGACGGGGACGGAGCTGTTAGGCTGTCGAGTCAGCAGTCTGGGGCCTGTGCTCCCGCTGCCTGTGTTGCTGGTTGGAGGGGATTCTACCTGCTGACTTCACGTCACCTTTCAAGCCCTGACTCTGAAGGGAGTTTCATTTTTCTCTGTTTCTTGGATGAGCAGAGCGAGCAGGGTGTAGCCTTCTGCTAAGTCTGATCATTCATTCATTCATTCATTCATTCATTCACGCCTACAGCATGGAAACGTGCCCCACACCCGGAGAGCCGTGTTCCGTCGGCGTCCGGTTCTGACCCGCGAAGGCACAGGGCTTTCTCTCTCATGGGTGGGGGGGGGGGGCGATCGCTTTGTTCTGCCCACGAATTCTTATCAAACGCATGTTCACTGTGGGCCTGGCTGGGACCAGCAGTCGGCGCTTTCTTTTCCCCGGAGCTGGGCCTATGTCCTGGGCTTGTCCAGAGGGAGCCAGGCCCCGTGGGACAGTGTGGAGTGTCTCGGGCTGAACTGATAGGACGAGGGGCGTGTTCTATGGAGCCCTGGTTTAGTCTAAACTGAAGGCGACTGTAACTTTAAAATACACGTTGGATTTTGAAGATCTGATATAAAATTTAGAATTATTCACAATTGCAATTGCATCGATTACATGCGGGGTGGCACTCTTTCAGGTATGTCGGATTATACAAAATTATTATTAAAACGAGTATAATTGTTTCTTTTTATTTAATTGCCATGTGGTTATGAAAGTATTTAAAACGCCACCCGCGGCTCTCTGCTGTGGCTGGCATCTCATTTCCGTTAGCGTTTGTGTTGGTTATGGCGCATTGTTTGTGATTAAAGGTTGTTTTATAAAACTTTGGCTTTGAAAGGTCAGTTGTTCTCAGCCACTAGAGCTGTCCAGGCATTAGTAGAAGGATCATTCATTCATTCATTCATTCATTCAACATCTGCAACATGGAAGTGTGCCCAGCACTGTCCTAGACGCTGGGCACCCAGGCGTGCGGCCGCATCCCCTGCCCTGAGCAGCTCAGGGTCTGGGGGGGCCGCTGGGGTTCTCCGAGCTTGGAAGCTGCTGGGGATGATGCCTTCCGGCCCGCATCCGGCAGGTGTTTGCGGATCTCCCGCTGGCTGCTCTCCGGAGGGTTACGGAGAATCACAGACGCGAGACAGACGGGTCCGGCCATCCCACTGCTCCCTTATCGTCAGCTCCTCCTCGCTCCTCAGTGGGGTTCACGCTGTGAACACCGGCCGCTGTCCTCCGCTCTTTCTTCATCCCAAGCAGGGTCATTGCCAGAAGCGCTTGCGTGTTGTTGTGTGTGAACATGTCCTTCCTCTCCGGCTTCCTCTCCTCATTGTGAACACGAATGAGGTTGCTGCGCTCAGAGCGATTTCTTAGATTCCCAGGTGACAGGCGGGGGGTGTTGGCGGCTGGCGGGGGAGGAACGAGGGTTTGCGGGCGTCATGGTGTGGACAGCCCACCAGTGCCGATGGGGCCCACAATTCCTGGTACTCACCAGCCGCTCTCCGGGCTGGGGCGTGAGTGAGGGGCGCCCTTTCTCTTTGTATCTGTTTGGGAGACGTTCCTTAAATTTAATTTTTCTACTGCTTTTGATGACTATAAGTTTAATTGAGTGAGTCTTCTCTTATTCCTCTGTATTTTATTGTATGCATTTAAAACTTATTCTGAGATGATTAATTAACCAATGTCACCCCAATAAATTCAATAAAATAAAAAAAATTAGAAAATAAAGGTCAGGCTGAGAAAAGGGCACGTCAGGGCTGACGTCTCGTTTTAATTCACGGCTCAGCAACCGTCGGTTCAAGTTACCTTGGCTGGTGCGGTATAAAACTCAGGTGTATAGTCATCCTATGTGCAAGTTCTTACAGGGCACCTCCTCCCCTGGGAGCACCCTGGCCCCGCCCCTGCCGCCCTTGGACCCACGTAGTCCTGGCCGGGCCTGAGCGCTGCCCCTCGGTCAGCAGTGGGGGCTGGGCAGAGACGGGAGCCTCGAGGTCAGGTTGCTCGCCGTGGACACCTTGGAGCACTGCGAGGTAAAGCCGTGCCAGTTCTCGCTCACCGGCCTGAACTTGATACTGGAGTTTTAGGTTCCGAGAGCAGGTCTGCTAAGTTCTCTAAAAACCTAAATAAAGGATGAAGCGCTCGGTGTTCAGTGCGGTACCTCGGTGTTCAGTGCGGTACAGCGAAGTGTTCCGCTTCGGGGGCGCTAGCGGCTCCCGTGGGTCCCGGGAGGACGTCCTTCCGAGGCATGGCTGCCTTTTCCTGTGGTTTTGGGGGGCAGGCCGGGGGGAAGGGGGGCTGGCATTTCACCCATGAGCATAGCTGCTGGGTTCTGTAACCTGCATCCCTCGCCCCCCTCTGCCCTCTCGCAGTGCTTGCTCCTCTCATGACGATGAACATCCTTCTTAATGAAACAGTCCAGCCTGCCTGGCTGGCTCAGGGGTGAGCGTCGACCTATGAACCAGGAGGTCACGGTTCAATTCCCGGTCGGGGCACAGGCCTGGGTTGCGGGCTCGATCTGTAGTCTGGGGCGTGCAGGAGGCAGCCGATCCATGATTCTCTCTCCTCACTGATGTTTCTCCCTTTCCTTTCCTCTCTGAAATCAATAATATATATATATATATAAAAATAAAACCGCCCGGTTCTATTATGCCTATTCGTAATGACAGGAGTAGTGATCACATTTAGTAAGTGCCTCCTGTGTGCCAGGCACTGCGGGAAGGACTTCCTGTTCCCGACCACAGTCCTACGAATGTAGCTGCTACTCCTACTAATGTAGCTGCTACTCTCAGGACCTTCGTCTCACAGGTGAGAAGCCGAGACCACGGAGGCGGCGTAACTGGCCCAGGTCCCAGCAGGGTTGGGATCTGAGTCCGACCCCCGGGCCTCGGGCTCGGCCATCAGAAGTGCTGGGTGACGCCGTGGAGTGAGTCCCCAACTCGTCGCATCTGATGGGCCCCAGGCGCGGACCACGGCCGCCGCTGGGAGCCAGCCCAGCCCGTGCCCATGGGCTCGGGCGTCGCACACAGACCGGCTAACGGGAGCTTCTCTGTGTTGACAGGGATGCTTCCTTCGGAAACTGCACGTACAACCTCACCATCCTCGACTGTTTGCAGGGGATCAGAAAGGTAAGCCAGCTCCCCCGGCTGCGGCCACACGGTCGTTTCAGACGTGAAAAGGGAACCATGCCCCTGCCCTGTGTGCCGCGGGGAGGAGAGGGCGTCCGGGCAGAAGGCTTCCGCTCCAACGACAATCAGTCTGTAAATGGAGGCCGTAGGGCGGTCGCGGCTGGGCCTGGCCGCCCTGTCGCTCCTCTCAGCAGCGGAAGGGGCGCCCTCCCATTGCAACTGCTCTGGGCAGCTGTCCCCCGTCTGTCTGCTGCGGGGCCTGGGCATCAGTGCCATCGGCCAGGTGACCCGGCGACCTGGGTGGGAGACAGGAGTCCGAGCTGCTCTCCCCGCTGGCCTGGAGGACCCCACCTGGCTCTCTCTCAATGTTTATGTTTTTATTGATTTCAGAGAGGAAGGGAGAGGGAGAGAAACGTCAGTGATGAGAGAGAGAGTCACTGGCTGGCTTGTCATTTCACCGGCCTTTGCCCACCCCGGTGTGTAGAACGGAGAGGCTAACCTGAAAGATGGGAGAATTTGGGGACATGTTTTAGCTATAACCTTGCTGGTATGTTGCATGTTGGAGACAGAAGTAATTTTACACACAAGTCACGCAAATGGCCGCGAGAGGTCTCCTGCGGGGACACACCGTCATGTTTTGAGTGTGTCGTCCCCTGTGAGACGGGCTCAGAACACGAAGGCTGTGCGAGGAGCGGCCTCCTCCTGGGCTCTGTGCGCGCGCGGGGCGGCGTGGGCGGGGGCGAGGGCACCGGCGCCGGCAGGAGCTGCCTCCGCTCAGCGTGGAAACTGACCCCCCTTCTGCTTCCAGGGATTGCAGCACGGATTTTTCGACTTTGAGACGTTCGACGTGGATGAGTACGAACACTACGAGGTGGGTGCGCGTCCGTGTTTGTGGCTGTGATCACGCGTGGGTGACGTGGTGCCCGCGGGGCGGCCGGCGAGGACAGCGCCCTGGTGTTTCCCGGGTTGTCAGTGTCTCCTCTCAGCTTCGACTGGGAGCCATCATTTTGGTTTCGGGAAACGGGGAGCCATCATTTCGGTTTCGGGAAACGCCGGATCTCTGTCTTCTGCTGTCGAATCTTTATTGACAATTACTTTCCATCTTCCTGAGAAAAATAATTACACGGTTTGGTAGTGAGATTGTAAGTTACATTTATTTGAAAATCCGGGTTCTTTTGAAAACAAAACTGGACGGTTGCCTTGTAATACTTTTGCCGGCACCCGTTTTTACTCGGAAACGCGGCTGCATCTGCTCAGGGGGAAACAAGTCCAAAGGCGAGGAGGTCAGGCCCTCCTCCACGCCCCCTCCCTCCCCCGCGCGGCCTGTCCAGGGCAAACCTGAACTAATAACCTGGAGCGGATGATTCGGAGCCAAACGGCACAGAAACTTAATTAACCAAATGCCTCAAATATTTACTTTGCCTTAAGCTCATCAAGTGCCAGTCGTCCCGGCATGTTGTGTTGATGGGACGCTCTCTCACTGTCAGCGTTCTTTTCAATGACAGGGACATTCAGTATTACTTTGCATTAGTTTCAGGTGTAGAGCATAGTGGTTAGACAGTCGTACTTCATAAAGAAAAAAAGACTGAGTTCCGTCTCTTTGGTTTTCAGAAGTCTTTGTGGCGCTGTTAAACCTCGCATGTACGTCTATGATGGCTGTTCTCACATGTAATGTCGCATTTTCTTTAACGGGTGCCTTAGTTTGTGCTCCTGTAAGAAAAACACCATAGACCGCGTGGCTTACGCAATAAACACTGATTTCTCTCAGTTCTGGAGGCTGGAGGTCTGGGATCGGGGGCGGGGAGGGGGGCGAGGGGGGGCGGTGAGGGGGTCTGGGCGTCTAGGAAGGACCAGCCCCCAGGTCATGGACGGCCCTCCTCTCCCGTGTCCTCAGGTGGTGGAAGGGGCGAGGCCACTCCCTGGCCTCTCTTTTATAAGGGCACTAACCCCATTCGCGAAGGCCCCATCCTCATGACCTGATCTCCCCCTAAAGGCCCCACCTCCTCACACCATCACACGGGTTAGGTTGCAACATGAATGTCGAGGGCCTGGGGCGTGCAGTCTCCAGCCATGGAGCAAAAGGAGGCGACAGTAGCACCTGTCCTGGGGGCTGCTCTGAGGTTCAGGGGGCTGCTCTGAGGTTCAGTGAGCTGCTGCACCTGGGTGGCACCTGGCAGAGTCACAGGTGGGTATGTACCCGCTGCTGTCGTTACTGTTACTTGTCACTCCCACAGCTTCCAGACTCCGTAATGAGAGAATCATTGATTGCTTTTTAGTATTTAGTGTGAGTTAGAGTCCTTGATAGATGACGAAGGCTCGCAGATGTTTGAGTGAAGGTTGAATGGTGCTTGTGTTGTCTTAGAAAAGACACCTGTTCGTAAGGAACCAACCCTGTGGTTGTCAACCGCAGGTCTAGCGTCTCCATCTTACGTCGAGGACACTACATTGTCCATTATGGAAAGGCTGAATACCTCCCAGTGTTTGGGCTGAGAGATGTATTTGTGACCATCACAGCAGTGGCCCACCTCACGGGCGCAGACGTAGTTTCTAGAACTCGTGAAAATTCAAGTGCTCAAGTCCCATGGCATTTCAAACACACCGGGCGGGTTAGCTGTTCCGAAGAAACCGGGTGAGCCTCGTGGACCGAGAATTCTATGGCAACGCGACGAGAACCACCTAAATACAGCCGCTCCAGGAGCCCAGATGTTCCTTATCTTGGGGTGTCCTCCCAGTGAGAGCATCTGGGCCTCCCCCGGAGCGGAGGAGTAGGCTTTCGGCCGGAAGGGCGAACTCGCCCCATGGCCTCATCCTGGCTGAGCTGTTTGCTTACCGAGTGCATCGGGCAGGAATCTGTGTGAGCCAGGTTCTGCTGTGGTGTGTGTGTCTGTTTAATTAAAAAGCTCGGTTTGTGTGGCGTTAACTGTTCCAACGGTGGTAAATATTGACATATGTGTACTTCACTCCGAAAGACGGCCCGATGTGCATTTTGGAAGCTTACCAAACTCGGCTGTGTCATACCAGTCAGTTAACGTTCTTACTCATTTTCTTTTAGACTCGGATCTGAGACCTAAATCTCTTTGCTTCTCCCGTCCACCTGTCCGGGCCACTGAGGATAGTTCAGTATTTCCCATGTTTATCTCCTTGGGTGGGCAGGTTTGCAAACATGCTCTTTTGGTTCTGGGAGCGAATGTGCCTTCGTGAGGCCATTGTCTTGCCCGTCTGACGGGTATGAAAGGTTACTGTTTAACCGAGGGATGTCCACGACCCAAGTAAACACACAGCCCAGTGTCCTGTCCAGCCCGCTGAGCGGTCAGGGATACGGAGACAGTGAACACAGAAACCCGTTCTCTTCCACTCTTCACAGAAGATGGGTGTTAGCCTTTTGAGGGTCAGAGCCTAGGTTTAATTTTGACATTTTAAGTAATGTTTTAAGCTTAAGACTTACGTGAGAGGGATAGCGGGCCATTAGTTGGAGACTGTTTGTTTTTCATTTTTACTGATTTCAGAGAGAAAGGGAGAGGGATGAGAGAGAATCATTGATCGGCTGCTTCCTGCACGCCCCCTGCTAGGGATTGAGCCTACAACCCGGGCATGTGCCCCAACCGGGAATCAAACTGTGACCCCAACCATTGAGCACACCGGCCTAGCCAGACTGTTTTATTTAAGCAAGAAAATGTTCATCCTAAAGAGTTGTAAAATGTATTTTAAATAAAGTCTAATAATATTATATTGAAAATAAATTTACTTTAAATTATATATTTTAAAAAAGAGTCGTATAGGAGATTCTTTAATCCAGTTGATGTGAACAGACAGGCATGCTTGAGATTTGGTGTGTGTGCCCCTGACAGCCATGGAGACGGTGGGGATTTTACTTAGGGCATTCTAGAGAGAATATGTTTATTACGACGAGTTTAATGCAATTCAGACGTCCATAAAGCGTCTTGTCAGGCTTCATTTGTAACTGGAGAGAACCGTCTGCTTTTGAAACATGAGCCCGGCAGCGCCAAGGTTGGGTTTTCCTGGGGTGAGAGTGGGCAGAGTAAGTCACTAAGGTAGAGGTTCCCGCTTTCCCCAGGGCCCTGCTCCCATTTATTGAACAACTAGAAGCCCCGACAGACCGCGGGGTTCAGACGGTATCGGACTCAGGTCCCTGGCGTGGAGTCTGCTCCTCCTAGTGACGGAGCGAGCCTTCTGTGTGGGGAGCCGTGGCCCGGGAGAGAACACTCCCTCCCCTGCCTGGTAGCTGTGCACGGAGCCCTGTGGGGGCCCTGAGCGGGCGGGGGGGACTGGGGCCTCCACGCTGGGACGGGCAGTGGGGTTGGGGGTGTGGGTGGGCTCAGAAAGCAAACGTGAAGCGGCGCTAACACACCTTTTGATGCATCGCCCACATGTGTCCCAGTCGTCTGCACAACCTCAGTGCCCCCAGCCCTGCCCCAGTGGTCCCTGGGTTCAGAGGCCACGGGGGAGGGGAGTGGAGGGGAGGGGAGGAGGAGAGCATGGGCAGTGGGAGGAGGCTCGGCCCTTCCCTGGTCTTCAGCCTTTTCTCGGGCCCCCTTAGCTTGTGTGGACCAGGGGCTGAGACCTGGTGATCCACGTCAGCCCACAGGCCTGTCCTGGTGGGCGGTGCGGTATCTAAAGACATCCTTCCTAGGGCAGATGTCAAACAGAGAGATGTCGGGTGACTGCCCCGTCAGAGGGTGGGCCTCATCCAGCGCTTTCCTGCAGGATGGCTCCTTGGCCAGAGCTGAGGCCCGGCCTCCTCCTGCCTGGCCCCTGGGGCTGTTGGGTTTGCAGCCACGGCCAGAGCCCTTGGCAGAGTCTGGGTCGTGGTGTGACTTTGAGGGTGGGACCAGGGTCTGTCCCTCCCTCCTCCTCCTTCTAAAAACCAGTGTTGACAACGGCTGCCCCACGAAAGTGTGTGCATCATAACTCTGATCAATTCATAGATTTTAAAAAATTGCTTAAAGTATGTATCCCATGTTCATGGAAAGTGCGTATATTGTCTGTTTTCTCTGATTTCCCTTTATTTATCGCTGGGACAGGCAATGTTTATTTGGATTTCTTTCCATTGCAGAGTGGCCAGGAAACAAAATTCTTTTAAGCAAATTTAAGAACATTTTTTAAAGTTTTACACAGTCTAGGAAAACACTTTTCTGAAGTGGATTGAATTCATAAGTACCATTTTGCGAATCGATGCATGTTTTTATTTTAAACTGTTACTTTGTCTTTACATATGTCCAGTGAGTCTAGAACCAGTAGCATGAAAGCGACTTTCTCTGTAAGGGTTTCCTAAGTGGTGTAAGAATTATAACATATTTTCTTTTCTTTTTTTTCCCTCACAAAATTCTCCAGCGAGTTGAAAATGGTGACTTCAACTGGATCGTTCCGGGAAAATTCTTAGCATTTAGTGGACCACATCCAAAAAGCAAAATTGAAAACGGTAGGTTTTTCTTTACCACCCAACAATGTGCTTCAGACCGTCTTTAATTCCTTCATTTCCTCCAATACTCCTTCCTTTCGGTGATATTCTCCAGAGAATTTCGTAATTTGGAAACTCCAGAGAATTTCGTAATTTGGAAACGGAATCGTAGTAACTCGTGTGCTCGATGCCACCCTTTAGGGGTGGAGGCGTGGCCGCTGCTGTAAGACTAGCCGGTGGTCACCAGGTGTCAGAGGAGACCCCGAGAAACAGGCTGTCACCCCTGAGAGACGCCTGCTCCCCTCAGGGGCTCCGGTGCTGGGTGGTCCCCTCAGGGGCTCCGGTGCTGGGTGGTGGGTGCTGGACGCAGAGTCTCAGGGCCACAGAGAGCACGTTGGGGCCACTTTGTGGGGACGCGAGAGCCAACTGTGTTTTGGTTAAACAAGTTGGAATTGATAAATGCATAATTTAGCGGTAGACCGCAGCATAGTTTGGATTTCAAATTTTCTAAAACAAAACACCAAACCACCCAGAACCCTCCGGGGATAATGTTTTTCTCATTTATGTTTAAAAAAAGGAAGAACAAAAGCAGAGAGAGAGAGAGAGAGAGAGAGAGAGAGAGAGAGAGAGAGAGCGCGAGCGCGGAGGCGGGGAGTCCCACTCTCTGAAGGTCAGCCCCTTTAAGGAGAGAGCAGGTGGGGAGCCGGGCAGGTGGGAGCCGGCTGCACCCCTCGCACCGTGTGAGCTCCTGCACCTCTCTGAGCGGGGTTCCCCCTCTGTCAAAGGGGGGACAACGCGCATTGCAGGCGCGCAGTGAGGATTAGAGATACTGTATCCAGTGCTCTGCACACGATAGGTGCTTATTAGGGAGCAGATATTCAGATTCCATGTTTATCACGGATGAGCCTACTATTTTATTTACTTTATTGGCCCATTTTGCAGTTTTTTACTTTTAATAATGACTGGGGGGCCTAGTCATTCGACTCTGCTGTTCTTTGGTTTCCTGACTTCCGATGAGGGAAGAGATGACTGTTTAAATCTCTCTCCGCCCGCAAGTTCTGGTTTGGTAGCTCCAGGGTCCTGCCTGTGCTTCACTGATGCCAGGGCACCACCTAGCGGCCGGACGGAGAAGGGCAGCCGTGCATGGCGGTACCATCAGTCCCGGAGAGCATTGGTGGCCCCCCAAACAGCTGTCAGAGCATTGATGGCACCCCAAACAGCTGTCAGAGCATTGATGGCACCCCAAACACTGTGAGAGCATTGACAGCACCCCAAACAGCTGTCAGAGCATTGATGGCCCTCAAACAGCTGTGAGAGCATTGATGGCACCCCAAACAGCTGTGAGAGCATCGACAGCACCCCAAACAGCTGTGAGAGCATTGATGGCCCCCCAAACAGCTGTTCCCAGCCATAGGATATTGCCACTGGCTTTGGGTATAGCTCACTGAAACACTTGTGGTCTTTAAGAAACCTGCTCACCAACTCTAGGAAGTGGAGGCCCAACAATTAGCCTCAGGTTGGTTCTGGCCCGAAATCAGCCCCAGCGCAGCCCGGAGCCTGACTCCAGGGCGCAGCCGCTGCCATCTCTCCTGCCCGCTGTGGGCAGGGCCCCAGCAGCTGGCTAATTGCAAGGTTCAGTGAAGCACTTGGCGTAGCGCCTGGTCCATAGCCAGTGCTCAGTGCACGGCGGCTACGATTATCCTCATTCCTGTCGTTACGTCAGCGTCCTGTTGCCATAGCTGGTGACGTCCGTGCCCTTTTCTCAAAAGAACGATGATCTGGGCCAATAAACCGACGAGGAACACAGGTGTGACTTTCCCGCGTGGGAAGGCAGTTGTCCTCTGGTGCCTGTGTGCGTCACTTCTCCACATGGGAGATGGCAAATACGCTCTCTCACCTCTTTGCTCAAAAGTAGAAATTGTGTATCTGGGCTGTGGGTCAGTCAGGCCTGCCTCTCAGCTCTGCCTGCCTCCGTGGGGTGACCTCGGCTCAGTGGACCCCTCGGCTCGGCTGGGGGGAGGGGCAGGCGGAAGAACCAACTCTGGCAAATGAAGCCCCAGAGGCACTGGTCGGAGTGATGCTGGGAGTCCCAGCCCCCGGGGAAGGCGGGGGAACGAGGCTTAGGAAACCACCAGGATCCCAGGGAGAGAAATGGGGGGACCCCCAGGGGTCCCCCGCTGTGCTGACAGCCCCCTCTCCCCCAGGGTTACCCCCTCCACGCCCCCGAAGCTTACTTCTCTTTACTTCAAAAAGCACAACGTGAGACCATCGTGAAGCTAAACAAAAAGAGTCACCGAGGACCAGGCGCTTTCACGGACGCGGGCTTTCGAGCCATACCGACCTCCTTCCTTCATCCACGGCAGCACGCCCTGCGACAACATCGTGCAGCAGGTTCCTGGAACATCTGCGAGAACACGGAGGGGGGCCATCGCCGTCCACTGCAAAGGTGCGCGCCCGCCTCCGCGCGGCCGGGCCCGAAGCCGCACACCAGGCCCCAGAGCCACTGTGTCTGAGAAAAGGGGACGCGGCCTGTTGGCACAGCCCCTTCCCAGGAAAGGGTGGCTTGGATGTGGGTGCTGATGGCGGTGTGGCCTCCCCGGTCCCCGCGCTTCCCAGGCGCCTCCGTGCGGGGCCGGGGCAGCATCTGTAGGCTGGCAGGGCACTTTTATTCTAATTTTTGAAGACTTTTTTAAAAAATATGTTTGTATTGAATTTGAGAGAGAGAGAGAAAGGGAGAAGGAGAGAGAGATGGAAACATTGATGAGAGAGGAGCGTCATTGGTCGGCTGCCTCCTGCGTGCCCCCCACTGGGGATCGAGCCTGTGACCTGGGCATGTGCCCTGACCGGGAATGGAACCCGCAACCTCTCCTTTCGTGGTGGAGGCTCAGCTGCTGAGCCACGCGGCCGGGCAGGTGCCGGCACACCTGTCAGGAGGTGAGGGCTGGTTGGTCCCTCTCTCCCTCCTGGAACCGGCCACCCCTTTCCTCCCTCCCCACCCCCTGGGCTGATGCTCCATCTCTTGTCCCAGCTGTTGGGCCTGCCCCCTCTGCTCCTGCCTTTCCCCACGGCCTCTGCATCATGGAGGCGCGTGTCTTCCCAGCCCCAAGTCAGGGGACGGCAGCCCACGGGAGTCACCGGCTGTTGGCTTGTCTCTGAGTGAACGGCAGGACTTGGTTGTGTAAAGGACTCTCTGGTCTCGGAGGGGGGCGCATGCTGGGGCAGGGTCCTCTGGGTTGTAGGGTTTAGCACAGAGCAGTGCAGGCCGCCCAGTGCAAGTTCAGTTTTAGATAAACGACGAGGACTTTTTTAATGTGTCTCAAATATGCACGGAACATACGTGCTGTACGTTCCCTGCAGCCCGTGTCCGCTGCTCGGCAAACAGGAGAGAAGACACGCTCGGAGCTCGGAGCCCGGAGGCCGGGTCTGTGATGTCCCCGCGGAGAGGAAGTGCTCTGGCCTCCCTGGGCTGGGCCCCGGCTCCCCACGTGCAGCGTCTCCGAGCGCCACTGGGGGGCGCTGCTCCCGCACCTGTGGAGCTGGGTGCTCAGGGTCTGGTGCATGTGGGGGCTGCGCTGTTCTTTTCGGGCGCCTGGCGCTGCTGGAGCTGACGTGCTCCGGAGCTGCTCGGGCTCTGACAGTGATGGAAACGCCATCGGGCCTGCTGCTATGTTTAAGACGTGAGTAGGTGGAGGTACTTTGCTGAACATGTGAGAGCGACGGAGGCTGCCTCTGCAGGGACCCGGGAGGGGGGTGAGCGGCACGCGGCCCCCATTTAGATGGGGCTCCCGTGTCAGGCCAGTCCCCCCGACAGGCCCCTCCCTCCCGTGTCCTGCAGGATGGGGCTGAGGGCAGGCCTCCCTGCCTCTTAGGGGGATCTTCCCTTCACTCCTGGCGGATTGCTGCTCTCCCTTCCCATCAGGTCACGTTGGCGGCGGGGGTGGGGGGGGCGTGAGCGGGTGTGGCCCATTCGCAGCCTAACTGCCTCGCCCTCGCATTTTGGTCAGGATTGCCCAGGCACGCCCTGGCCAGGCAGCTCAGCGGTTTGTGCGCCATCCTGATCGGCCAAGGTTGCGGGTTTGATCTGGGTTAGGGCACATTCAAGAACCCACAAACGAATACATCATTAAGTGGAACAGCAAATCGATGTCTCTCTCTCTCTTTCTCTCTCTCAAATAAAACAAGTAAAAATAAATGAAAGAATTGCCCAGGCCCACGAAAAAGCCCGCACTCCACATACTTCACGTATCCGCGGAAGCTGGGAGCTCCTGGGAACAGGAAACGCTCGCAGGCTGTCTTTCAAACTACTTTTGTCTTTCCGGGGATGGATTTGGCCTGATGTCTAGCTTGGTTTTGTGGGTTTTTGCATCAGAATAATCTGTTGCAGCTTTGGTACAGTGAGTGCATTGCAGCCTGGACGTGCGCCTTGTTACACAGAGGCCTCTGCAGCGAGTCTGTGCGGCTCAGGGTGGTCGCTCAGTAACTCGGCTGTGATATCGGCGTGGGAGGCGCCAGCCCGACCGGAAGCCCGGGGTCAGTTCCGTGTGGGCAGTCCGCTCCCAGGTGGTGACATCTGGCTGAGTGTTTCATTCGCTTCCACTTGTACACACACGTGGGAGCCTTTTACAGGGATCACACCTTCGGAGTAATTACCGCTCCACCGCTTTCATAGCATCGGTATCTGCTGGAGGCCCGTTAATTATTTTGACATCCGCCCTAATTAAGTCAGCTTAATTTTCTGGGAATTCAGCCGCCTCGAGCATTTTAACTGAACTGCGAGGAGGAGGCAGCGAGAATAGTCTTCCGTGTCCCACGAACTTCGGTGGCTGCGGAGAGAGAACGGCTGTGCCACGCGCCTCCCGCAAAGTGCTGTGCAGAGCGGGGGTGGGGAACGTCCGGCCCGCGGGCCGTGTAAGACCCTCAAAATCATTGGGCCTGGCCCTGCCAAGGCATCAGGGGTGTTACCTGTTTGACCAAGTAGAGCAGGCGGATGTTTAAGTGGATAACGTTGTGTGGCCCTCGAATGACGTTATAAATGTCCAGATGCCCTTGGCAGGAAAAGGTCCCCCCTCACCCCCAGTGGACAAACCAGAACCGAGTTTGCTGGGAAGGTGTGACCTGCTATGACCGTTCAGTGTCTCCTGTTCACCTTCTGGTTGAGTGAAGAGAGGGCTGGGGACTCGTGAAGTTTTCTAGCACAGTCGTTTGGAACATGGCCGCACTGTGCAGTTCTGACCTGGCATTGCTGAGGTTCTGCAGCAAGTATGTCAAACTCAAAGGCTAACACGGGCCAAATAAACAAGGCATGCGGTCCTCGGGCTGTGAGTTGACATGCTTGTTCTGTAGGGATTTCAGGAACCGCCTGGCCCTGTAAGGCGGGCGGCGGGCAGTCGGTAAATAGACCCCGTCCAGCTTCTCGCCCCGCGGCACCGGGAGCCCTCTCGATAGGCCCGCTTCACAGACCGTTCAGGCTCTTCTAGAACCTAGCGGAACGCTCCTCTCCTGTGCGATCCTGGTGAGAGCGCAAGTACGTGCTTTTTATAGATTAAATTACAGGCTTTTTGAAAGCGGGAAGCAGCTTACGTTTCAGAGGGATCTGAACACTTTCTGCACCTTTTCTTTTTGGTTGTGGGTGGGTGTGGCGAGGAGCCGCCCCCTCCCCGGCCCAGGGAGAGGGTGTGGGGGCACTGGTGTCCCCGCAGAGGCCAGCGGAGGGGCTCTGGACGCCGACTGGGCCCTGGTCCTGCTCCAGGCCACTGGGCTGTGTTCTGTCAACATGATCTGTGGCCTTGTCAGACCTCCGCAGAGACCAGGACAAATGTCTCCTAACTCCTACGTCTAAAGAAGAGCCCACGGAGGCCGCAGTTAACGTCACTCTTTTCGAGCGCATTGGTGCCGGGTCAGGTCCTTGGGGTCAGGAGGTGGCCCTGCTTCAGGTGCCAACAGGCCGCCCCCCGCCCCCCCACGCCCCTCGTCTGATGAAACGGGGTCAGTAGCGTTTTCAACAGGCAGTGCCCGGGCAGGTGCGGGCGGGTTTGCATCCCCGGCTCGTCCCTCTCTTGCAGCCGGCCTGGGCAGGACGGGGACGCTGATCGCCTGCTACGTCATGAAGCACTACAGGTTCACGCACGCCGAGGTCATCTCCTGGATCCGGATATGCCGGCCCGGCTCCATCATCGGGCCCCAGCAGCACTTCCTGGAAGAGTAAGTCTGTCGTCCCCGCGGGCGGGGTACATCCGGGTCCCTGGTCGCCCTGCCTCCGTTTCCCCCGGACCGTGGCAGCCGGGGTGATGGACGGCTGCATCAGGAGGGAAGGCCGCGCCCCAGGAGCCTGGAGAGGGGACGGCTCCGGCCTCCTCACGGCTCCTGTGGTCTCCGGGCCGGGCAGGCGAGCAGGAGGCGCAGAGCCACCTGCGCCTGCCGGTTCCCTGTCGTTTCCTGGGTGTGATCTGGCCTCGGTGTGATTTTCTTACGTCTTCCCACCTGGCATGTCATTCCCTTCTTTTCTGTTGTTTGCATGTCTATAAGCAGAACGGAAAACACACACAAACCAAACAAAACGCAGCTGAGTCTGTGGGTGACGGTGGCGAGGTTGCCGCTCCCGGACAAGGAGGCAGCTGCGTGTGGCTGCATCTGAGGGGCTGCCGGGCAGGAGGGAGAGCGGCTGGTCCCGCCTGCCCGGGCCCAGAGGAATACCCGCCTGCCCGGACCCAGAGGAATCCTTATAACCCCTCCCTCCTTCCCGGTCCCCAAGGGGGAGAGACTTAACCTGTAGGCCACAACCCTTCCCGGTTTCCCCTTAACATTTTAGAAATCACCAGCCATTCGCTCATTAACGGGATGAGGAGCCCTGGCCGCTGGGGCTCGGTGGGTGAGTGTGTCCGTGCACCGAGAGGCCTGGCTGTCCGCCTGTCCATCGGCCCAGCGGCCTGTTGGCTGTCCCCCTGTCCGTTGGCCCAGAGGCCTGTTGGCTGTCCGCCTGTCCGTCGGCCCAGCGGCCTGTTGGCTCCCCGCCCCTGAGAGGGACAGTGAGGCGCAGCAGGTGTCCCCCCAGGGGGTCCCAGGCAGGCACGCCCACCCGTGTGCCCAGTGGCAGGTGTGGGAGCTCGGGCTTCTGCACAGACGTGCAGATCCTGGGTATGGTCAGTCTTCTAGTCACGCATTGCGTTCTGTTTGGACTGGGAATTTGCTTTGGAGCTGCCGTTGGCCTCCCAACCCCAGAACCGTGCAGAAGTGCCGTGTTCTCCTGGGCTGCCAAGTTCGTGGGAATTGGTTCCGGCAGCTTCGTGTAGGCAGGACGCCTAGGCACCCGTGGAGGTGTCGTCACCTGTGGCGGGTCAGGGAGGATGGGCAGTGCGACCCCAGGCCTCTTGTGGGCGTGGCTGTTCGGGATGAGTCGCGTTCATCAGATTTCTACCTTGGGGGGTTCAGAGAGGGGCACTGCGACCTCATGTTACTCAAGGAGACTGGGCCGCAGCGACGTGTCCGGTGGCTTCCCACCAGCAGGTGTGGGAGCTGGAGTCGGGGAGGCTAAGAAGCCCCCTGACTGTCCCCCAGGAGGGGGCAGGGACTTGGCCCCGGGCTAGACGATGGGCCCTGGGCCGTTGCAGGACATCAGTCTCAGGCTGTGAGGACGGACAAAAGACATGAGAGATGAAGAGAGTGGCGTCAGTGATGACGCAGACGCATGAATAAGTAACACACTCCTCGGGGAAGAAATGAGGGTGAAATGTCTCCTGATGGGTTTTCATCTGTCAGACCTTGAACGAGGGGCGGATGGTGCTCCTCCACGTGAACCACAGAGCCCTGTGGGGAGGGTACTCCAGCCCCGGGACCTCAGGACGCTGCTCCTCACGCCTGCCGTCCTCACACCACACACGCCCGGGCGTTCATTTCTGTATCTTTTTAAAAGAATATTTTTATTGATTTCAGAGAGGAAGGGAGAGGGAGATAGAGAGAGAAACATCCATGATGAGAGAGAATCATCGATCGGCTGCCTCCTGCACGCCCCACACAGGGGATCGAGCCTGCAACCCGGGCCTGTGCCCCGACCGGGAATGGAACCGTGACCTCCTGGTTCGTAGGTTGACGCTCAACCCCTGAGCCACACCAGCCGGGCCCCCATTCTGTCCGGACTGGAGGGTGATCAAGGTTTCGGGGATTCTTCCTCTTTCCTCAACATCCAGTCCATCGGGTATTTGCCAGCCGGCGAACGCAGCGGTGGGCCTGCAGACCTCCTCTAGGTTCAGGCGCCTGCGGACCATGGGGATGTTTCTGAGCCAGCAGGTCGGGTGGGATCTGTGATCCTGAGTTTCTCACAAGCGCCCGGGTGAGGCGGTGGTCCCACTCACAGGGTGGACGAGGCCTGAACTCACTGGTCTCGGCACTGGCTGTCTCGCTCCCTGTGGTGCTCACAGCATCTGGTAAATGTCACCATAGAACTGAGTGACATCGGCAGTTAATAGGTCAACCAGTGCTTTTTATTTCAGGAAATGACCAAACACAAGATGAAGAACGCCTGTTCACGAGATGGAAAAATGCCTGGACATGTCTAATGATAGAGCTGGGTTTTATCATGACTGACTCCTCCTGTGGGCCTTTAGGATGTGGGTGTGTTAGATACAGGCACTGGGTCAAGGAAAGTGGGTTCCGTTTTTTAAAATAATCTAGTAAGAGATTTCGGAACTTGCTATTCCTAAAATAGCAACAATTAGGATCTGAAATATTAGAAGCAAAGGAAAATAATGCTTGACAATCTTGTGGTTGGTTTATTGGAGCCACAAGCACACGGCATGGGTGTGAATGGGAACTGTGCGTGACAGTCACCTTTTTGCAGGAACAGCTACTACAAACCTGGGAATTGCTTTTCGATATTCACTATTCCATCGTTTGATTCACTCGACACCCCATTGGCATTGAAGCCATTGGCTAAGCAAGGACCTGGGTTCAGTCTGAAGAATAAGGTGTATTAGAAGAAGTTTCGGCAATGGTGGCATCAGGAATTGATCCTGAAAATCTCATGCCAGTTACTGTGGGACATGGAATGGTTTTTGTTTTGTTTCCTGTGTGAAAGGGGTTAGAGGTGAAATAATGATGCGTTAGGGTTCGTTGTGAAGTTTGTATTTTGGTTTGATAGCAGTGGCTGAGGGCGAGGATGGAGGGGTTCCACCCCTAAATTCAACTAGATTCAGGTAGTTGACTCGTTGGCGAACGTCCCAAATCACTTCTTTCCTTTCTAGCTACATTTTCTTGGTGTTGCAGAAGCAGGACCTTCTCCCACACCCTCCTACACTCTTCCTAAACATCTTCCGATCTTCCTAAACATCTTCCAATGGAACATCCGTCAGTACGAAGTAGGAGCAGTTCTCCTTGCTTAGCGCCTCCTTCGGTCTCCCCAGTCTGATGCCAAGTGAGAGGAGCGTCCCCTGGACCCACGGCCGCCCTGGGGTGGTGCTGGGAGCCGTGTGGGGAGGCCTGGCCGCAGGTCGCAGCGCAGCAGGCCTGGGTGGGGCACAAAGGGGGTGGGTGTCCAGGCGACATGACCACTGTGGCTTTGGGTGGACACGGGGAAGGGAGGGTGGCACTGGGAGGGCGTGTCCGGACTGGAGGGTGATGAAGGTCGCGGGGATGCTGTGGGGCAGGACTCGGGCTCAGGAAGTGCGGAGGGAGGGAGGTCAGCTCCAAACAGAAGCAGCCGCACAGTGAACCGCGTGCTCGCAATCCAAAGCCAGAGACAAGGCACGGACCTGCCTTTCTTTGGGGGGGGGATTCAAAGAGCAGATTTTAGTCCGGCCGTGGTGGCTTCAGTGGTTGAGTGTCGACCTGTGACCCAGGAGGTCAAGGTTTGATTCCCGGTCAGGGCACATGCCCGGGTTGTGGCTCAATCCCCAGTGTGGGGTGCGCAGGAGGCAGCCGATGCATGATTCTCTCTCATCATGGATGTTTCTCTCTCTCTCCCTCTCCCTTCCTCTCTGAAATCAACAAAATACATATTTTTAAAAACAACAAAGGGGTTCCCAGTCTTCTGCGATGGAATTTGTTCTGAGCATCTGAGGACCTTAGCAGTCAACCCCTGTGTGGCGATCGGGACCTGTAGCAGAAGATGGTCATTTGTGTTTTATATAGAATTTAACTTGCTGTGGCTTCAGAAAGGGACTTTATTTTCCTTGTCCTAAGACTCCGTAATCGCTCTGTTCTGCTTTGAAAATGTTTATCTGCTCATCCTTCTGTTGACAAGACATCATGCTCCTGAGATGACAGTCTTTGTTGTAAAGGGCATTTTGCTTTTCTCTCCTTTCTACAGAAAACAAGCATCGTTATGGGTCCAAGGAGACCTTTTTCGATCCAAATTGAAAAATAGACCGTCCAGCGAAGAAAGTATTAATAAAATTCTTTCGAACTTGGATGACATGTCTATTGGTGGAAACTTATCCAAAATACAGAACGTGGAGCGATTTGGAGAGGTGAGCCCCCCCGGAGGCGTCGGTGTTCCCCCAGGACTCCCGTCCTGCACGTGGACTCACAGGGCGGAACGTGTTTCTTCTCTGAGGCTGAGAGGACCAGAATTTTAGGCGTGGAGCCCCCTTCCCCCAAAGCAAGACGGGGTGACCACGCACAGGGCGCAGGGAGGCTGTCAGATGGGGTGACTTTGGTTAATAAAATTGCATAGGTTTGGGGTATGCAATTCTACCCTGCATCCTCTATGATTGACTGTATTCCCTATGCTGTACTCCACATTCTGTAATGTACATGCGAGCAGTGCTGAGTTCAGAGTGCATTAAAGCGATGAAGATGATCCATATGAAATATACCCACACACAGAGAGCCTGCCATCTAGTAAGAAACCCTCATACAGCCGATCGTTCACCATGACCTTTCTGGGGAACATGCACTTTCCCCCCCAGAACAACTTAGAAGAGGATGAGGATGTGGAAATGAAAAACAGCATAACCCAGGGAGACAAACTACGTGCCTTAAAGAGCCAGCGCCAGCCTCGCTCCTCGCCGCCCTGCGCGTTCAGGTAGAGCATTTGAAACTTCGACATTCATGTGTGTTCCACGTGTGGACAGAATATTTAACCCTCTCTCTCCTTTTTTAAAATCTATTTGTATTGATTTCAGAGAAGAAGGGAGAGAGAGAGATAGAAACATCTGTGATGAGAGAGAATCATGGATCAGCTGCACCCTGGCCAGTGTGTTTCAGTGGTTAGAGCATCGGCCCGGGCACTGAATGGGCCTTGGGTTCGGTTCCCAGGCAAGGGCATGCACCTGGGTTGCAGGATCCATCCCCGGCTAGGCACACGCGGGAGGCAACCAATCAATGTGTTGCTCTCACATTGATGTTTCCCTCCCTCCCTCCCTCCTCCCCTCGCTCCCTCCCTCCCTCCCTCCCTATCTAAATTCAATTGAAAAATATCTATGGGTGAGGATTAACAAAAGCAAACAAAGAAAGCAATTTGCTCTAAATGGAATTCAAGATGAAACAAAAAGACTGCAGTCACTTCCTGCTGGCTCTGGGGTTTGTTTTGTCAATGAAGGAACAGATGCCCGTCCCCAAGGGGCTCCCTCACGCGTGCACCTGGGTCTCGGCTTGGAGGGGCGCGCGGGGACCCTGAGCGCCTGTCTCTGCTTTTTGTAGGTTGGACGATACGAAAGGGCACCCGAGGGCAGTGGTGTGCCAGCCTTTCAGGTACGGTGACCGGAGCCCCGTGGCTAGGAGCTCCCACATGACGCCGCCTTTGACGACACCCGGGCCTGAGCCGGGGTGGAGGGGGGGAGCCTTTGCCCTGTCCGGGCCATTGGACATTTATAACGTCACTTGAGGGCCACACAAAAGCATCAGCTTAAAAACCAGCCTGCCATGGTTGGCCCAACATTTAATTCACTCACCCCAATGCCTGGGCAGGGCCAGACCAAATGATTTCTCGGCCTTTTACGGCCCGCGGGCCGGACGTTCCCCACCCCTGCAAACTGGTGAAAAGGAGCTGCGCCCCGCGTTTCACTGCTTCGGCCCCTTCCTCTCTGTGACGATGGGGTTGTGTTCCACGCTCCCCAGGAGAAGGGGTTCCATTCCTGAGCGGCCCCGGGGCTGGTGGCTGTGACAGTGACCGGTGCTTACTGCACCGGGTGGTGGTGGTGGGAGGGGTGTCTCTGATAAAGGCCATTGGCTGCCACAGCCCTTTGGAGCTGGTGCTCGGTTTTGCGGTGAATGGACACCGTTCCTGCTATTCCTGCTTCCTCGTTTTGCACGTTTGTTGCCCTCCTCTATTCTCTCGTTGTTTTCCCTCCTCTACCCTCCACGCGGAGAGGACACGTTAGTGTTTTTCTTGGGGAAAAGTCCCCTGAGTGCTCTCTGGTCGTGTCAGGCCATGGGGGTTCCAGGACCCAGTGCGGGGCTTGGCGGGGCAGGAGAGAGGTTTGACCCGAACCGGGAGGCGCTGGGGAGCGCTGGGCCCCGAGGAAAGAGGAGGCGGTTCCACCGAGAAGCCACAGGATGAGAGGGTGCAGGTGCTGCCGGAGGCTGTGCAGCCGTGGACTCTCAGGGGGTCGGATGCAAAGATGCGACTGGCAGTTGGGATAAGGCACAGCCGTGGCCTCGCCCCCGACCAGGGGCTGGTGGGAGGAGAGGACCCCAGGAGGGAGGGGACCCAGGATGGCGGGAGGTGAAGAGCAGGGCGTGGGGTCCCGGGTTGGACCCGGGCACGGCCACTTGCAAAGGGGGCTGGGCGCCGAGGCTCCCGGAGAGCGCCCGGCAGACCCGCTGTCTGGGCGGCGGCTGCCCCGGACGTTTGCCTCGCCCTCGCCGATGGCTGAGTGTCCACGTGGCACAGCTTTCCCGTGACACTTGGCTCTGTTTTCTCCCCACAGACTGGCTTCTTCCTCACAAGGATCTGCGTCTGCTCTGAAGATCTGCAAAGTGGCTTCGTCCCCGTCCGCCACGGCCAAGCGGATCTCCAGGGGCAGCTTGGCCTCGGGCGCCAGTGGGAGAAGGTAACTCTCCCCCTCTGAGGGCTGGGGTCCAGTCAGCAGCAGGGAGTTCGGCTGCCCTTGGGGGGAGGGGAGAGCAGCCACAAAGGCTCTGTGCCCTCCGGGCCCTGTCCCCTCCTGCGTTGTGGGGACGAGGCTGCGGAGGGATGGCGGGCGGCACCCTTGCTGTAGTCGCCTGATTTGAAAACGGAGCTGAGTTGTATGCGCTAAGGTACAGCCCATGGTCATTCCTCCCGAGGCGGCCGGGACGGTTCATGGAGCCGTGTGATCAAATACCTATGAGTTAAAGCTTGCGCTTCTCACTCTTTGCTTAGAGTTCACTTACTTCCTGCCTCAGGACAAACAGCACCCCGATTGCAAGTCCAACAGCACCCTGATCTCGCGTCCAATAGCACCCTGATCGCACGTCCTATAGCACCTGATCTCGCTTCCAATAGCACCCTGATCTCGCATCCTACAGCACCCCGATTGCAGGTCCAATAGCACCCCGATCACAGATCCAATAGCACCCCGATCTCAGGACCAACAGCACCCCGATTTCTGGTCCAATAGCACCACGATCTGCCCCCTGTGGCCCGGCACTGTCCTCGGCCGGGCACCCCCAGTGCCGTGCTGTGTCTGGACTCGAGCGGCGGTAGCATGGCTGTCGTGTTCCTGTGTCCCTCCAGCTTCTCCGTAAACTCCCGGCTGGCCAGCTCTCTGGGGAACCTGAGCGCGGCCACGGAGGACCCTGACAGCAGGAAGACCTCGCCCTGCAAGGTGGGCTTTGCCGCCAGCCCCTTCGCCAACCTCCTCAACGGCAGCTCCCAGGCGTCGTCCAGAAACTACCCCGAGCTCAACAACAACCAGTACAGCCGCAGCCCCCCGAGCAGCCAGCGGGGCCCCCCCAGCACCAAGACGGAGGAGCTGGGCCCCGGCCCCACCGCCCCCAGCCCCCGGGCCTCCTACACCGGCCTGTCCTCCTCCTCGGCCCGGTTCCTGAGCCGGTCCATCCCCGTAAGTACACAGACACCGCCGCTCGGCCCGCAGACCCCCGATCGCAGCTTCGGGGCATCGCCATCCTCGCCATCCTCGCCATCCTCGCCATCCTCGCCCCCCTCACCCCGGCTGCCCCCAAAGAAATTCAACAGCACCAAGGAGGCCTTCTGAGCGCCCCTCTATGCCGGGACTGTGGGCGCATCCCGTCCACCCGCTGGCTCCCCTCCCTGTCAAGTAAACGCCCAGCTTCCACCGGGCTCCTCCTCCCTCCTCTCTCTCCTCCCTGCGTGGTAGCCTGCCAGCCTGCTCCAAGCTGGAGTGGTTCCCATGGCAGACAGGGTGCTGGGTGGGCGGCGGCCGCCAGGACCTCCGCCGCCGCATTAAAGGGCGAATCGTGAGCAATATCTTCTCAGGACGGAGCCTCAGGTCCCTGAGCGTGTCCCCTCCGCAGGGCACTGGCCCAGCATTCACTCGGTGGCCCGGGGAGGTGAGCATAAGGCAGGTCCCTGGGGTGTAGGCAGAAGCAGGATATCAGGACGACGGGCAGAATGAGCTGCCGTTCCCCGCGAGACTGGATGAAAGCTCCCCAAACACGCTTTACCCACAGGGACCAGCCCCCTTTCCTGACTGGGGATCCCTGTTGGGGTAAATCTTTAAGCAAAAAAACCCACCTTTTTATTGATTTTAGAGAGGAAGGGAGAGAGAGAAACATCAATTGGCTGCCTCCTGCACGCCCCCTACTGGGGATCGAGCCTGCACCTCGGGCCTGTGCCATGACTGGGAATCGAACCGGTGACTCCAGTGCATGGGCCGACGCTCAACCGATTGAGCCACGCCAGCCGGGCATTTTGCTCGTCTCAAAGGGAACTGAGGTCTGCGGGGTGTGAGTTCTGATTTGGGGGAACAAGGACAGGGAAGGAAGGAGAGCGAGCCCGCACCGGTCAGGGCACGTGGCCAACGTCAGCAGCCGCACTGATTCCCCCCGGGTCGCCCTCGTGCCCGCGTTCTCCACACGTTTCCTCGTGTTATCGGGGAGAGGCTGGTTCCGCAGGCGAGGAGGGGGCGTGCGGTGCAGTGCCCTCAGCCGAGCGGTGGCCCCGTGGGCGACAGTGGGACCCACGTCCTCAGATGGCAGATCAGAAACCACTTTTCTAACATGGAGATACAGTGTGAGTGTGTGTGTGCATGCAACGTGCATGTGTGCGCACATGTATATGGGTGCAGATGCATGCACATGTATGTAGTGTGCATGCGTGTGCAGTGTGCACACGTGTGCGTGCATATGTGTGTGTGTTGGTTGAACTCGGCCACGCCCACCTCTACCTCAGGCCTTGTTAAAGTTTCTCCCCCTCCGTCCACATGTCCTTCTGCACATATTCCCCCGACTTTATTCCCAGGGGCGTGTTGCCCATCACTCTAGATTCCTGTGGCGATCAGGGCCCGGGCAGTTGCCAGCCCCCCCCCCCCCCTTGACTCGAATCCCACTCTGCTGTGGGTGCATGCGTGTCGGCAAAGCCTAAATCCTCGCCGCGACGGCTGATGGGAACGGTCGTGTGTTTCCGTGTGCGCAGCGGGGTTCGAGGTCAGACACTGCCCAGGAGCGGAGGCTGTCCGCTTGCACCCCCAGATGGAGGCGGCCGCTGTCAGACCCGAGGGGAGGCCCTGCCCTTGGCAGCGCGGGTGTGGGACGTGGAGCCGGTCTGTGAGCACCTGGCCCCGGTCACGGCTGAGGCTGGTGCCCCCACGTCGTGGCGGGTACCCGGAGCCCCGTGGTGCTGCCCGAAGCAGCGCATGTTTCTGGGTCTCCACGTGGCCGGTGGAATCCTTCGGTGCCGGTCGATGCCTCGCCCTCCCGCTTATATAACCTCATCTTGGCTTCAGTCGCTATTTTCTTATTTTCCTTCTCGTCCTCCTCCTCTCTCTTTCTGGCCCGAATAGGGTAATTTTCCAATAATTAAATTTAAAGTCATAGTCTGTGTGGGCAGCGTGCTCGCTCCCTCCTCTCCCCCTTAAAGTTGTCACTTTCTTGTAAAGAAAACGCATTTCTAAGGAGAGCTGCCAGCAGGGTACGGTTTCTCTCCCAGCCCCCGGGAGGCAGCGGGTCTGCTGTCACTGCCCTGCCTCCTCCCTCTGCCTTAAACCCGGTCCCTGAGAGGGGGCTGCGCCCGCCGGCGCTTGGGCAGGAAGTCTCCGCGCACATGGAAATCCCTGCTTTATGAGGCGCTAAGGGAGGGGCTGTGGGTTTTCCCTGTGGGCCCACTGCAGCTTTTCTTTTCTTTCTTTTTTTTTTTAAAAAATGTATTTTTATTGATTTCAGAGAGGAAGGGAGAGGGAGAGAGAGATAGAAACATCAGTGATGAGAGAGAACCATGGATCGGCTGCCTCCTGCACGCTCCATGCTGGGGATGGAGCCTGCAACCCGGGCCTGTGCCCTGACTGGAGTCAAACCGTGACCTCCTGGTTCCTAGGTCGACGCTCAACCACTGAGCCACGCTGGCCGGGCCAGTGCAGCTGTCCTGAGGGTGTGGGTTTCTTGTCTAAAGAACCCGGCCCTTCTGCTGATGCTCCTGAGGATGTGATGTTCTTAAACCCTCGGAGAACTGGAGGCTGTGTGGCGAGGACAGGAGGCTGTGTGGCCATCCCCTCCCGGCACCTGGGAGAAAGACCCAGAAAGCCCTGGGGCGCGGGCGCGACGGGCCTTGTGAGGGCGTCTAGTAGGGAAGAAGCTGCAATTAGCATCTCTCCTAAGAGCAGCAGCTCAGCCCCCGGAAAGATGGAGGCCCGAGGCCCTGGGCCGTCTAAACGCTCCCCGCAGGAAGCGGGATGATGGGAAGGGCTCCCCGGGGCCCGCGCGTTTCTGTTTCTCTGGCCTCATCAGCTGGTCCGGTCCGAGGTTCCTGCTGGCCCGGGCGAGGGGCGAGTGGTGCTCACCGACCCACTTACAGTGAGAATCCAGTTCCCTCTCTGCCATGCAGGGGCGGTGTTTCCCAGCGCTGAGAACTGGGGGGCGTGTGATGGGCGTGGGTGGGGGAAGCGTTTTATCAGGTGAGATGACTGAATCTCTGTCGTGAATATTCCATCTCTTCTGTTTGAGAGACTCCCCACCGAGCTGGGTGCATCCAGCTTGTCCTCACCTGACCCCCAGGCCCAGGTCATGTCCTGGTGCCTCCCCTTAGCTCTTGGTCGTAATCTCCGAAGGGAGCCGGCGGTTAGGAGCGCTCCGTCCTTCCCCGGACACTCAGGAAAAGCTGCCCGGGCTCCAGCGTTCGCTCTAACACGCAGCCAGCCGAGGGGCTCGGCTTCCTGCACACGTGGCTTTAGTGGATAAGAGAAAAGAGGCCTCATGTGAAAATGCAAGTGTAATCTCGGTGTCCGGATGAACGGAAAACACTGGCCATCGCTTCCTCGGGAATGGCCGAGGCAAGGCAGGTGTCAACACCCTGTCACTAACGATTGAGCTCCTGTGATTGTTGAAAAGCAGATTACATCCCCCGGGGCGGGGGGAGCGAGGGAATCTATTAAAGTTACGTAGGAAGGTGAGAGGATGTTTTAGGTCGCATTTTAGTTAACCCAGGTCGGCTGGCTCTTGGGGCCCCTGGGATGGCTAGAGAATGCTGCGGAGAGATGCGAAGCCTCCTGCAGGCCCATTTTATCACAGGCTTTTCGTGTCACTGTTTCCAAAAAAACCTCATTGAGCTAAGTTTCTGCCGGTGTCACTGGAGGAGGGTCCTGGGTAGCACAGGCGGGTGCTTTCTGCTCCTGGGAGCGCAGTCCACACGTTCCGTGTGCGGTTACCTTAGAAGCAGCACAGACGCGGAAGAGCCAGGAGGAGACGGGAGGGCAGAGGCAGTTACAGATGACCTCTCCCCAGCGTTCACCCCCCCCTTGCTCATTAAAACGGGAACACTGGAGTTAAATATGAAATAAGACACGTATTGCCACGCGTGTGCTGTACCCCCTTTAATGATCGGTGCCAGTAAAACAGAAACACTTTTTAAGGCCCTTTTCTGCCTCTGTGGTTAGACCTCAAACCAAGGGTAACGATGAACTGCTTTTTCTTCCTGGAGGGACTTGGGAAAGTGGTGGTGGTGGTGGTGGGGGGGCGAGTGTGGCAAAAGCACGCGGGGACCTTGAGCCGGGATTTGGACCCGTAGGAGACTAGCATTCGGGCCCTGGGTCCTGTGGCCCAAGGCGTTTGAACATGAAGATGAGTTTCATTCATTTGCTGGCAAAGACCATAATCTTTCACGATTCCTTACCTAAGTGTTCTGCTTTTGCTGGCCATCGTATAGGTTTATGTACTAAAGATCGGCCCGTATGTATAGCTATAATCATTAGATGTTTTCCTACCATGATTAGGTAACGAGGCTGTTTAACAAAGAAGCACCCAGAACAGCTAACTTCTTAAAGGCACTGCCTACACCTGCCAGCAGACTCGGAGCAGGTTCCAGGGAGAACAAATTGTCTCGCTCTCCTTACCTAACACTTGGTTTTATGTCAGATCTAACTGCTTTCAGGGAATAAGACTTCTTTTATTTTGACATAATTTATTTTGGGGGCTGCACATTTAAGGTCACTTTATGCTTATTTTCCAGGTTGACTATGGCTGTGTTATTAATTTTATGGTATGCATTTCATATATTCATGATGAAGTTATCTGGTCTGAACTCAGTATAATCCTCTTGAACTTACTGGTCACAAGAAATCGAATATTCTATTTGAGTAATTGAAATCTCTTGATTATATAAATAAGTGCTTGATTATATAAATAATATTTATGCCCCAGGTCTCCCTCCCTTCATTTTCATTGCTATTTTTCCCTCCTTTTTTAGTACTTAAGATGCATTAGGTATTACTTCTTATGGCAATGATAAAAACAGTTGGCCAAGCATAATGAAAACTTTAATCAGAATGCTTAATCCTGGGTGTTTTTATAAAGAAAATATCTTTTTAGAATAGTCCCAAGAACGATTTTGGATTCAGCCCTATTGGAAATCATGTCGATACACATTCTCGCCGTGGGTCCAGGTGTGTGTATGTACAGTGCCTGAGGCTCGGGCACCTCCTGGTTTGGAGCCTTGGCATAAACCACACCCTGTAGGGGGACGTGCCAAGCCCTTTTCGTTCTTCCTAGGGGCGCTCTTAACCTTCCCCTCGTCCTGAAACTTGCAGCCTCGAGACCCGCAGCCCCCAACCACCAAACCGTCCCTGCCCACCCCTTGCCTAGTCTTTCACTTGTGCCCAGTGCTACCCTCACCCTCAGTTTGTATCATTAAATGCTGACTCCTTGGTCTTTCATTTTACGTCGGTATGAGGTGTGGTGTTGGCCCTTTGAGGGCGCAGGGCCGTAACTTGTTGGCTTTCGGGGTTGATAGAGACTTCCTTAGTGAGTGGCTGTGGCTAGGATGTAAAATTCTGGGACTTGAAAGGTAAACAAAGATAGTTTGAATCTTTTAGTAAATTATTTGGAAAATGGACAGATTCCTTTTTTTACTGATCCCTGTACCGTCAACGAAACGGACCGGCCTCAGAACTGATACGACCTCGTCATCAAATGCCGCAGACCGGCTGGGAAAAGGATTCTTGGGGGAGGAGGAAAGGGCACGTGAGCAGATCAAGCAAACCGTGTTCTACGGCGTTTAAGCAGGAGAATCGGGCAGGGACTTTGGTTGATGTTTAAACTGACTTGTGTTTCTGCTTTCTGACTGCTGTTTCTGCTCAAAAGTGACTGTGAGGCTGTTGTTTTCCTCCCTCTGTCTTTTCCTGGCTGACTTTCCCCATCAGTGCTTTCTGGTCACAGCCCCGATCAGTGCTTTCTGGTCACATGACCCGATCAGTGCTTTCTGGTCACATGACCCGATCAGTGCTTTCTGGTCACATGCCCGGATCAGTGCTTTCTGGTCACAGCCCCGATCAGTGCTTTCTGGTCACATGCCCGGATCAGTGCTTTCTGGTCACATGACCCGATCAGTGCTTTCTGGTCACAGCCCCGATCAGTGCTTTCTGGTCACATCCCCCGATCAGTGCTTTCTGGTCACATCCCCGATCAGTGCTTTCTGGTCACATGCCCCGATCAGTGCTTTCTGGTCACAGCCCCGATCAGTGCTTTCTGGTCACAGCCCCGATCAGTGCTTTCTGGTCACATCCCCGATCAGTGCTTTCTGGTCACATGACCCGATCAGTGCTTTCTGGTCACATGCCCTGATCAGTGCTTTCTGGTCACAGCCCCGATCAGTGCTTTCTGGTCACAGCCCGGATCAGTGCTTTCTGGTCACATGCCCTGATCAGTGCTTTCTGGTCACAGCCCCGATCAGTGCTTTCTGGTCACAGCCCCGATCAGTGCTTTCTGGTCACAGCCCGGATCAATGCTTTCTGGTCACAGCCCCGATCAGTGCTTTCTGGTCACATGCCCGGATCAGTGCTTTCTGGTCACATGACCCGATCAGTGCTTTCTGGTCACATGACCCGATCAGTGCTTTCTGGTCACATGACCCGATCAGTGCTTTCTGGTCACATGACCCGATCAGTGCTTTCTGGTCACATACCCCGACACACTCCTTGTATATGTTAGTATCTGACATGATAAGGGAGGAACTTGCCCTGTTTACATTTTTAGAAACTTCCCACTGTTTCCTGTGACTGCCTAACTCTTCCACACAAATGCTTTGGGGACTTAAGGTCAGAGTTCAAAGCTTGTAGTGCTTTGTGCCCCCCCCCCCACAGGTATTTGTATTAAATTCACCCATTCTCAAGGAATTTATTTAAGTGACTGCCCATTCTACTGCATTAGAAGCATTAACGTTCAATCGCTATGTATTGCGTTGCATTCAAAATTATATATATTCTTAAAGTCTGTTCTAATAATCCCCAATTTAGTTACAGGTGTCATTTAATATTTTTGAGTAAAATTCAGTATTATTGCACAAGAGCATGGAAGCAAGTTGAGCCCTACCTACCAATTTTCAAATAATAGTTAATTTGTCATCACTACTAATAAATTAGTGACTTTTTAAAAAATATATTTTTATTGATTTTAGAGAGGAAGGGAGAGGGAGAGATAGAAACATCAATGATGAGAGAGAGAATCATGGATCGGTTGCCTCCTGCACGCCCCCTACAGGGGATCGAGCCCATAACACAGGTATGTGTCCTTGACCGGAATCGAACCCAGGACCTTTCAGTTCACAGGCTGATGCTCTATCCACTGAGCCAAACTGGCCAGGGCAATTAGTGGGCTTTTTAATCCTCACCCGAGGATATGTTTATTGATTTTCTGAGAGAGAGAGAGAGAGAGAGAGATCAGTTGCCTCCCATTTGCACCCAACCAGAGATCCAATCTGCAATCTAGGCGCGTGCCCTGACCGGGAATCGAACCCGCAACCTTTTGGTGTTCGGGACCACTGAGCCACCAGCTGGGGCCCTTAGGCAAGCCTTTAAGCATGTAAACCTTTCATGCCGTCACGCTGGGAATTGCACGTCCGCTCCTTAGCCGGTGCTTTGCGTCTCTCATCTGTCCCCTCCTGGCTTTCGCTGACCTTCTGTAGAGCAGACCCCAGTGGGAGGGAGGGAGGGAGGGAGTGTGTGATGAGCTGAGGGCTCTGTGCGCCGCATTAACCTCCCTCTGTGTCTCTCCCCGCGCAGTCCCTTCAGTCTGAGTATGTTCATTACTAAGGCCCTGCCGTCGGGGACCGCTGCTCTTAGCGCCACCGCTGCACCGGGACCAGCGCCAGGACCGGCTGCGGCACACGGATACCTCCGCCGTCCTCCCTCTGGTTAAAGCGACCTTCAGGGGACCCGGCCGCCGCCGGCCCAGACCACGCACAGGCACTGAGGCTGTGTGACCGACACTTCTGAAGACCGTTTTAACGCGGGCTCGGTGATTTCGAAGGGTTATTTTTCATGTACCGCGGGAATCCTTTCTTATTACTTGTACCTGTACAGTGTCACATGATGTATGTATTGTGAACGTAAAAAGCCTATTTTGATAAATTTATAAATATTTACAATGATGGAAAAGCTAGACTATATTTTGACTTAGGTTTTCTTGCTCTTTGCTACCAAAAAAGAACTCATTTGTATTTTGAATTTGTGCAGTACGCTGTTCAGTGCGATGAGCCGCCACCCTCTGCGGGGGCAGGCCCGAGGGAGGCCCGTTTGGAGAGGGACTGTTCCCCCAGGAACGTGGCCGGCAGGTCCTCCTTTCGAGGAAGTCGGCCCAAGGTCAGGAGTGTCCCAGGTTCCTCTCCCGCGAGAGCCTCAGCCTCGGACCTGGCTCCGGCCGCGTTTTCCCCTTTGTTTTTGTTGCTGAGCCGCTTGGTTTTGCACCCTCGGGGCTTTCTGGACACTGAGCGTCTCGGCTGCCCGCACTCGCTGGGTGTTGCTCCCGAGAGGGCTCTCCCCCGGGAAAGGACTCAGGGCTCCCCAGCCAGGAGGATGCCGCTCTGGGTACAAGGCAGCGCTGGCCCGTGATCGCACGTGGCCAGGCACTGGTGTCCAAACCCAGGAAGAGAAACAGTGGGAAAGGATGCTGCTAGGCAGTTCTCTGCGTTTCAGAGAGAAGCCCTGGGCACGCAGCTGGCCTGGGAGGACCCTCCCCCCAGGGGCCTTGGGCACGCAGCTGGCTTAGGAGGACCCTCCCCCCAGGGGCCTTGGGCACGCAGCTGGCCTGGGAGGACCCCCCCCCCCGGGCCCTGGGCTCGCAGCTGGCCTAGGAGGACCCCCCCCCCCCCGCCCGGGCCCTGGGCTTGCAGCTGGCCTGTGAGGACCTCACAGGGGCCTCGCTCGGAGGTCTGCGGGCTCATTTCCTGGGGAGTCGGGGCCTGCATCCCGATTCCCTGTTGCTCACCCATTGAGTTATTTATAGTGTATTTATTAGGACGGGTACCTCCAGACTGTCACACGCGCTTCAGCAAAACATCTTGTTTGTTTTATGTTTTACACTTTTAAACAGGCATTTGAATGAATGTTTGACTCAGGTGGGTTAGCTTAACCTTCAAGAACGACAGTACCAAATAATTGCACTAAGTTGATTTTAAAATAAAGAGAATGGTATGTTTTTAGGGATCATAAATTATGGAATTAAATTGTATACTTTTTCTAAACCTGAAATAGTGAAATATTTTATTATGAGTTATTGTATAAAAAAAGATTGGTGAATTGTACAGGCTGGTGATAGTATTTTTTTAAAAAAACTGATCAGTGGGACACAATCCAGGTGACATCGGAGAAGTGGGGAAGGGAACCACATGGACGTTTTAGTTCTGTGAACACTAACTTGTGTGCAGCTATGAAAATGATTGTAAAATTGACTGCTGTAAATTTCTCATATGTATGTGTGTATGCTCGTCATATGTATCTACATGTGTACGTCTTAAAAATTATTAATACACATGTGCATACATAGACAAACCAAGAAGAGTATGTATATAACATAGAAAGTATATAGCAAAGTAATTCTACTGCAATAAAAATTGTTTGACATGTATTTTGTTATGAATAGTTTACCTTCCAAAAGATATTCTGTTCTATTTTAAAGTGTAGAAGGATACACTGCTAATAAATAATAAAAGTTTTATGCCATTCACATGTCCTCTGGCTTTTATCATTGGGATTTTGAGTTACGAACGTCCTGAAGTCTCTTGATAATTTTGTACTTGATCCAGTCTGGTTGGTGCCTTCAGTCGAGTTTCCCAAGTTCTCCATTTCCTGGAATCCATGACGATGAGCCCCGAGGAATCTTTGAACGTCACAGTCGTCAGATAACGTCGGTGTCTTGATGTCTTTCTCTCTCTGTGTAATGCTCCGTTCTGTTCAGAAAGCGCCGATCGTGGTTCTGCGTGGTCATTTATGACTGCGAACGCCACACCGGGGAGAAGTCAGCTTCGGGGGGGACGTTGGAGCTCCTTTATGTCCCCAACTAGATTGGATCCCTTTGGGTTGTGGTATCTCTGAGGTTCTTCCCTTCTGTTTGCCTCTTAAAAAACTTGAGCACACGTGGGAAGGGTTGTGGGCAGGACGGCAGCCTCACTTCTTGAGTCCAGAGCACGGGACAGCGGGGCCGAGGTCATGACGGTTCCTACACAGGTTTCTTGTGAAGTCACAAACCTGGCAAATATGTCGAGAAGGGCAGACAGTCTTTTTTGACAGATTTAGTCCCCCCCCCCCCCCAAAAAGCAACAAACAAACCAATGAGCTCGTAGCAACACATTTCTCTCCTACGGGTCATTGAGCTCACGTGGTCTCCCTCTGGTCAGAGCCCCTGGGGAGGGTGCATGTGGACAGCCAGCTGCAGTCCCAGCCGCAGCAGGAACGTGGATTCCCCCAAGGTAAGCGCCACGAACGCATTTTCAAAATTGCTCTCTCGTGCTTTCCTCGGTGATGCGCTGACCGGAGTGGGGCCTGTTCTCTGCCGAGGGCCATGGGATGCTCATCACCTCGTGTGTGGGCCATACAGAAGCATCAGCTTAAAAGCCAGCCTGCCACACTGGGCCAGGCATGGAATCCACTCGTCCCTGACGCCTGGGCAGGGCCAGGCCAAAGGGTTCCACCGGCCGTGTACGCCTGTGGGCTAAACCGCTGAGAGGTTAAAAGTTTCTTTTCAAGTCAATTGCTGGTCCAGGAGCCAGACCGTACCCTGGTGTTTGGCGCCATATGACAACGTGCTCTTTTCCTCCTTGCCCTGGAGGCCGAGGTCAGGACGCTGCGGGGGAACCTTGTGGATTTGCAACCCTTGGCAAAGCAAGAACTGGGTCGCTGCTGTCTCTCTGGGAACAAGTGAGGGAGATTTCCAGCTCCAGCAAGATGCACCTCGCAGCACAAGATAAGTCCTTCATTTACACACAGGTTGCATCGGGGCTGTGGCACCCATCCCCCGGAAAGTGGAGAATAATTGTATTAAGTTATTTTGAGCTGAATTGAAATGGTAATATATTCCTACCCAGTTCCTTCTCTATGGATCGAAGTATGATAATCATATTGAGGAGGAGAAAAATAGCTTTTGTAGAGAATTCTAAACTTTGGTGAGTGCAGGTAGACACTTATATTGCAAGTCAACCTTTCATGCAAAACACAGTGCTTTGGAGCTGGTTGTAAATGGACAGACATAAGCTAACTGACCTTTAACCTGCATGCCACCCAAGTAGAGGTGAGCTACGTGCTCATGGCTTGCTCTCTCTCCTCTGGTCTGAAGCAAGTTGACCAACGTGTTTTAAAAAGTTGGACAGCAAACAGGGCGACATGGCGACTGTAGAAATGAGCACCACTATGATGTTTGCACTGACATTCAGCGGTAGATTGAGGGGTAACTGTCTATCAAATGTATGTCTTTTTTTGGCCTCTTATTATTTTATTTTTCAACTGCAGTTTGCCTTCAACACTTGTTTGTATTGGTTTCAGATAGGTGTGTAGTGGGTACACATTCATAGAGGTTACAAAGCGATCCCTCCCGCAACACAAGCGCCCACCTGGCCCCACGCAGCACCTGTTAAAATAGGGCCTGGCTGGTGTGAAAGAATACCCATCCAAGTAAAATACCAGAGCCCTGGCCGGTGGCTCAGGGGTTAGAGGTCAGCCTCTGCCCTGAAGGGTCGAGGGTTCAATTCCCTCGTACCTCAAGGGCACGTACCTGGGTTGTAGGTTCAATCCCACCCCAGTCGGCACACATACAGGAGGCAACCAGTGGGTGTGTCCCTTCCCCCCTCCCTCTCTAAAAATCAGTGGAGGGGAAAAAATCCTTGGGTGAGGATTAACAGAAATAAAATAAAATACAGAAACACCTCAAGCAAGCGGATACTCAGCGTTTCAAAGCTTTGGGTGGGAGCACACGTTGCCGGGCCTAGAAAAGTCGGGTTAAAAGGTTTCACTGTTTTGAAACTAGAGCAGGTTGCAAGGCAGCGAGTCTGAGACGTGCCTATAAATTATCAACCTCGTGCTGGTTCTCAGCTGGACCGTAAAATCGTAAAAAGCTGAACACTGGTACCTGGAACCTGATGGGAAAGAATTTAATTCTTGAAATTACTATTGTTATGATGCCGTGTTGAAAAGGCGCGTTGGCCGAACGCAGAAGCGCCCAGGTTTGAAGTTTCCATAGCAACTTGCCCGCCGCCTTTCCCTGGTAAAGGCTTCTCGAACCTGCACGGGGCAGCATCGAATCAACAGGCAATTGAGGACTTTTTCATACCTTTTAACAGCGTCCTGAGAATGAGCCCTGAGCAATTCCTCTCTCGGTTTTATTGGCCAGGACTCTGGGCCTGAATATTCCTGACGTATCATGAGGCCCCGATTTAATAAAATCTTTGATTAAAAGCACCATTTGCTCGGCGTCCGTGTATCGCTTTTGTTTCTGAGAGGAACGTGCGGCTCATACCAATCAGAGCCGGGCTGGGTCAGGTCGCCCTCCCCCCTCACGCCGCTCACCGGCAGTAGCTGTGGCCACCCTCACCCTCCACATGTTCTTTGCTGAGGCATGCTCTGTACTTGAATACAGACTCTGTCTGAACACCGGAGATGCTACAGCTTTTCTTGTTCTTGCACAAATGTGCGCAGCGTTCCTGCCACACGACGAGTTGGCGGCTGGACAGGCCCTGTCCCCGCGTGAGGAACACGGCGAGGCTGCTTACTCATCCGAGGGCCACACGTGTCCGTCCTCAGCGCCCAGCCCACCTCCCACTTTGCCGGGACCTTCTCCAGCTGGGGGTGGGGAGGGCAGCTCTTCGCCCAACCTGTGACAGCCACTGTTGGGGTGGCCCGCCTTCCTGCTGTCTCCCAGGTCCCCAACGCGGGCACAGGGTGAGCCCTTTTATTTCACCTCATTTTGATTTTTTTCCTACGTTCTCGGAGTCTTTCAGAAATTAAGAGCTACAGAGATCTCGTTTTCTGGGGAGGACCCTGAGCCCCTAGGCCTGGAAGTCTCAGCAAAGTCCGGTTGGGCCGGCCTGTGGCTGGGAGAACTGGGGTGGAGCTTCAGCAGAAAGGATGAGGGGACGCTGCCTGTGGGGTCTTTGCTGGTCTAGAAAGAAGGTC